ATTGTAGAAATCGTTGTAGATTTATAAAAATAAAAACAAGAAAATTATCAAACTTGCAAAAATTAACTAAGGCTTTATTAAACAAATAAAAGGGGGTCTTTATATACACATTATTTCAGACATTGATCACAGATGGGCTGATGACTGTCGTGGGTAGATTCATCCAGATAATACTCGGATGTAATGATCCGATATAGAGAGGCCATATGAGATGTCAATAACAATAACAATAACATTCCTTCTTAAACTGTGTATGTCTTGTAGCACAATATTTAGGGGAAAATGTAGTTCTTAATTCAGATAGCTGTGGCACCTCTATGTGGCTGATGTAACCTTCATATGTTTTCATATCAATGTTATTAATTAAATGTATGTATATAGCCTCGATCACGACACATATACAGCGTAGATGATCTTGACGATCGTGAATTACTGATCGCACAGAAGCAGAGAATTTCGGCTCGGACGTGGGAAGAAGAACGTCGTCTTTAAAAGGAAAGTGAATCATCTTTGCTTAGAGAAGCCGAAAAAGACGAAGATGGGAGTGACGTGGAGGTACCAGAAAAAGTAAGAGAAGAAGTAGAAGTAAGGGGAGAAGAAGTGGGGGAAGAAGAAGAGGTAGACGAAGAGGTAGATTAAGAGTTACAAAATTCGGTATAACATCTATAAAATAAAAATTAGTTTATATATAAAGAAAGAAAATACATTTTGAAGTGGATTAAAAAATCGATTGAACTTTAGAAATATCTACAACTATTATCCAAGATCGAAGGAATGATTGTTCATCCATCGCTTCGCGGATTATTGAGTGGTATAAATACTTAATACTTTTACCAGTGTTTTCAAAATTATATAAAAGTTTGAACTTTGTTCTTTGTTTATTTTCTTTCGTATATGTATATGTATGTATCATGTTTTTATTAATTTACGGCATATGTAACTAAATGTTACCTTTCCTTTGTCATAAATGTTCAATTAAATCTTTTTGTAGTTGGCTGTGGGTATGGGGATCTCAAATCGAGAAGTACTGCTCAACGAATTCATCAAATGTTAACTCTTCCCGAGAAGATGAAGGTGTGGAAGAATGAGGAGTATAAATCAAGTCAAGATCTTGCCCGCCTTCATTTTCCACTATTTTGTTGTGAAGAATGATGCAAGGGTTCATTACAGTTTTGATATCCCTCTTTTTGAACATCCGAGCTGGTCTTTGAACTATGAGGAATCTCGCTTGGAGAACACCAAACGCACGCTCTACATCTTTTCGTGTTGCCTCTTGCCCTGTTGCAAAATACTACGTTAAAATCTTGTGATATATCAAAATAACCAAGTCTAGGTTCAGATAATATATGTGTACCTTCGATTTGGCTGTTTGCGGGTTAGGGATGGGTTTTACCGAAGTTGCGTACTTTGGGTAAATACCATCCGCCAGGTAATACCCCTTGGTGTAGGTATTGTCATTCACCTCAAACCTGACATCTGGGATTACACCTTCTGCCAGGTCTGCAAAGACAGGAGACCGATTGATGACATTAATGTCATTAAGTAACCCAGAGAGTCCGAAGACCGCATGCCCAATCAAGAGGTCATGTGAGGCTACGGCCGCCGGAATTACAGATGGCCTCTTGCTCCTGCCGGTATACTGGCCATGTAAAGCTGTCGGGCAACTCTTTCACTCCCAGTGCATGCAGTCAATTGATCCAAGCATACCGGGGAATCCTCTCTCTTCTCCAACACGCAACAAACGGTCAACATCTTCCTGGTTGGGTGAACGGAGATATTCCTCACCGAATACCTCGACAATCGCCTTGCAGAACCGCTTCGGACATATCATGGCTGTAGAGTCGGCCATACGAAGGTATTCATCAACTGCATCTGCTGCTGATCCATACGCCAACTGTCTTATGGCAGCTGTTACTTTCTGCAATGTGGACAACCCCAAATTGTTTGCTGCATCCACCTTTTGCTCAAAATAGCTATCATGATATTTTATAGCTTCAGCAATTTCCAAAAAGAGGTCGCGCTTCATTCGAAATCTTCTACGGAACATCTCATCGGAATAGACCAGAGTCTCATAAAAGTAATCTCTCACAATAGTATCGTGGCCTTCAATGTGTCCACGATCGATATAAGTGCGTCCCATAACGGAACCTTTCTGGGGTTGTACTTCCTCTTCTACTTCGACTGTATTCAACTCTTCGAACAAAACGTCTTCCATCATAGCATCCAATAATTCGCCTTCTAAATATTCTGAGCAGTTGTACATTTTAAATAAGATAAATGTAAAAAAATTCAGACAAGTTACAGAAAATAATAAAATATAAACATTTTTTTGGTTAATTAAACGTTTATGTGGGATTTATTAAAAAAAATCCTTTTATTAATCCACGATTGGGTGTAAAAACATTACGCACATCTAAACCTTAAAAATTGAGCCAGATTTAATTAAAAAAAAATTCCTCGGTTGGGAATGCTCTTAGTCACCTTTGCCAGAAGTGACAAAAATTAACACTTATTTTAACACCTTTTAATAGCTTCATTCTGAGTGTTAGAAATTAACACTTATTTGTCACCTTTATTTAAAGTGATGTCGAAAAACACACGAAGTCACTCTAAGTCACTTATTTATTAATTTCATCACTTATTTAATCCCGTGGTGCATGATTGGCCTAAGTATGATATACGATTGACAGTTGGATACATAAAGCTATAACGCTGAGTTACGATATTACCGATCGAGAAGAGAATCTTCTCAGATAAAATCAAGAATTATAAGAAAGAGAAACGTAATATTCATAGTTCTATCAATGGCTTAGCTACCCATAGAGAGAATATAACAGCTATTACTGTAAATGGTTCATTTACGTATATGTTAATATAATTATACTGCCTATAAAGAATATAAAGAAAAAGTGTACGAACTAATCGATACCTATCCTCTACAACCAAATACACAAATTTCGATAAGATATTCTATATTTGGGATCGAATTTTATGAGTTAGAAAATTATTGCACAAATGATCAATTATAACTATTATGTTCTACTAACAATTACACTTGACAAACAAGTATGTATCTTTTAACAGTTTCCGTTAAACGATCTTACAAAGAAGTGTGCCACTGCACCAAGTATTTCTCAGAATACTCGTGTTCCCGTTTCACACATCTGGGACAACGTTACGTTTAATCAATTCTAACTAGTAGAGTTCAGATAACACAAGATGGAAGACCAAAATATATATTTATTCCAAAACCAGAAAGGTCGACTCATCATAAATCCAGGAGATTTGCAATATAAAAAGGATTGATTATTTCATAATAGCAGAGTTCTTCAGTCTATTTTTACCCTAATAAAAATATTCGTTTTATCTCATTATTTTTTACGTGCCATTTTATCAAATATCACACCTACCCCCTCGTTAACGCCAGAAGAGCTACTAAATGCTATAAGGACTAGAGTGCATCTGGACTTCAATGTGCCAAAAAAAAAAATTAAGCAGAGAGAAACGTTAAAATTGGACTCCAACACTTTCCTCATATCTAAGGTTCAATATTTGTGGACATATATCATTTTAATCTTGATTAAAATGAGAATATGAACTTTTTACTCTAAAAAAAAAAGTGGGTCCGGAGTTTTTACAACTCGATTTTAGGTGTGGGGGGAATTTTTGTCACAAGCAGGTTCAAAATTTTAAATTTTACTTTTCCGACCAATAGTATTGTCCCGCGTATAGTATTTGCCGCCTTCGGACCATGAAATGCTTACTGCCTGTACTCTCAATTTGAGTACCCGCATGCGTAGTATCTCAGCCTATTAAATCAAAGTCTGAAGACATTTACTGCCAACCCTGTGAAACACAAAAAGAATAAACCAAACTTTATGTATTAAGTAGAAACGCTTCATATTTAACAGATATAGTTTAGAGTATTTTGAAAATAGATCCAACTAGTTGTTTATTTAATTTATGTATTTGAAGGGTCGTATTCGTTAGATAAAGTACACAGTGCCACAAGACGTTATATCAGAGTCTGAGATCAAATATGATCAACACTGTAAGGCACCAAAAGGATAAAACAAACTTTATGTACTAAGTTGAAACACTTCATATTCAAAAGATTTAATTTAGAGTATTTTGAATATAGATCCAACTGGTTGTTTATTTAATATATGTACTTGAAAGGTCATATTCATTAGATAAAGTACTCAGTGCCATAAGCCGTTATATCTAAAATGAGATCAAATATGATCAACGCTGTAAGAAACAAAAAGGATAAACCAAACTTTATGTATTAAGTAGAAACGCTTCATATGTAAAAGATATAATTTAGAGTATTTTGAAAATAAATCCAATTAGTTCTTTAATTAATTTATATATTTGAAAGGTCATATTCGTTAGATAAAGTAAACTGTACCATAACTTCTAAAATCTAAACCGAGATCAAATATGGTAAAGTGTAAAGCACAAAAAAGATTTAAGATATCGTAGATATACATTAAGTTAGAACGTCTACAATATGAAAACTTTGTTTACTTCAGTAATATTAGATGGAACGTTCTTTAAAATTACAAACGCATCAAAGGGGTTACTGTTTTTGAGCGTATTACTTCACGGGAGCTTTAAAAATGACAAATAGAACTGTGAATTTAGAAGTTTGGTTTATTTTTGCACTCTTCTAAAAAAATTTTGCATAAAAAAAATGCCCTAAAAAAATAAAAAAACCTCCCCACATTAAAAAAATCTGGCTATGAATACATTTTCTTTTATATTACTTGTACTAGTCGGAGATGAATGCTAAAAAATGTCACATATTACGTTTTGGCAAATTAAAATGAAGATGCACTCTACCGGTCCGTATTATATACATCAAGTATTCTCGAACAGGACATATATTATCAAATCCACAACAAGAGAGTTGGTGCCACGACACATCCATGGCAACAAATTGAAGATATATAAAGTTCCGTCATTGCCCACCTTCATATAAGAAACTAACAAATCCAATGAATCCAATAACCCAGAATCAAAAATTCCTCGACCAATTCCTGGTCGAGTCTCCCCCAAGCAGCCCCCCTCAAACCTTGTCAGAAACTCCCCCTCTCCCTCCTATCCTCTTAGGTGGCGGTACTACTACCCTTCTGATGGCTACCCCCATTCTGGACCCTCTAAACCAGCCGGACCAAATTGAACTATTGGAATGCCTCTATAAAACACAGAAACGAGTACAGCGGCTAATTAACAAACAAATATCTAAAGTCGCCAAATTAACCCACAAAAACATAAAAAAAGATGGATTTTCAATCCTGTACAACAAAGAATACCAAGAAGCTCATCGAAGTGTCTTCACTTCCAAGAAAATGATCGAGAAAGTATCTCAAAAGGCTCAACAATTCCACAATCAAACGCCAAAGCAAACTGCTAGAATACACAAGCAGAAATATCAACCAAAATCCCAACCCAACTCGATTCATTACATACCAAGGAAAGGGCCCAAGCCTAGTGCAAACAACAAACCCTGAGACCAATCAAAACATTCAAATTTCCTTTTTTTTATTTTTATATTTTTATTTTTGTTTTTATATTTTTATTTTTTTTCTTTCATCTCTCTTCTTTTCTTTTCTTATTCCTTTTCTTTTTCTTTTTCTTCTTTATTTCTTTACACTACCCCTTTTCTTTTCCTCAGTAGGATACCTACTCTTAGTGGGGAGGAGCGTATGTAAGATCCAGTGATCTTACGTGACTCCGTTTCATCGTACTGACTTTCAGCCTGAACTCTAATTTAAAACCCATATAAATAACCTCCTTTTTTTTCCTTTAATAAAAACTTCAGCAATTGTTTTACCTCAAAACTAAAACAACCAGCAAAATCTAAAAATCAAAACTATCAAACACAACTTTATAAAACTTTTATTTCATTTCTTATATTCACCACCGCGGATTTTTTAGTCGATTACAAGTAAATGTTTGTGTCCTCATGATCTGATTGGCTAAAAAATAAAAAAATAGAAAATAATAAAAAAGCTAAAAATACAATGGTCGTGTGCAACTCGAATACTCAAACATAGGTGTGTTTGTTGCACGAAATGCCTGTCTTTGAAATATTTGGATGTTCTTTATTTAAGCTGTGTCAGGAGCATAGTTGTGTTAAATTTATATGGGTTGATAATCTTGTTTTCATTGACATCTTTTTTGAACATATCAAGAGCACCATTTGGAATAAGTTTATCTGCCTCCATTTCGATAAACCCATCAGTTGTGCAGCTAATAGGCTGTCCAGTTCTACCAGTAACATCAGGTTGAAATCGCTGCAAAGTAACCAATTTACCATTGTTTTTGGTGATCTCACCTACAAATACTGATGTGTTGTTATCTATGCAGACAGAAACCAAACCACAAACACCCACTGAAAAGGTATTTACCCCCGAGTAGTTGTTATCGGCAAACTAACGGGAGCTACCAAACATTTCCAAGAAAAAGTCATCACCTGCCATATCAATATAATTTTTGAGCTTCGAGCCGTACTGGACCCTCTTTATATCTTTGCTCACCCAAGACCCTCCATCGACAATATGTCTAAGTAGCTCTTGCTTACCAACTTTCAGCGCAAGGCTTTTGGACGTATCTTTTCTGTTGGTGTGGAATAGATGTTCACGTAAACATTTGTTGAATTGCTCACCTTTTTCTGTTTCATAATGTAAAGCGCACCCAAAATTGATCAGATCATCACGAAGATGATGCAAGAGGTGCATCTTAGGTTTACATGAATATGGCGTGGGGTTTGAGATTGCAAGATCAAAGGCATGGATTCTCTTCGTTAACTCATGTATGACTTCATGCACATCATTCACATACTTATTAAACCCCATGTGCACACGACGGACAAAAACTAATGAGCACAGCTCACCCAACTTGCTTAGAGGCTTGTTAAGTTCGATGATTTTAGCATCACGAACTCGATCGGCAAATAATTGAGAAATGATCAATGGCAGAATTTGAAGCAATTGTTTATAATCTCGGCCAAGAAACGATCCAAAATGTTTTAGCTGTCTTGAGAAATTACGGCTGTAATTTTTGCAGAATTCATAGCGGTTCACTGCAGTTATCAAGATCGTCATAACCGATTTGTTCTTGAAAATTGTGACCTTTATCAAATGGTTTACGAGATACCTACCAATATCAAGCAAAATTGTGTGAAGAATTTCCACTGGTGTATCTTCTGCAGGATTATAACTGGCCAATTCTAGTAATCTTTCACTCCCATCAAGATTTCGATAGCTCAGAAGCTTTGCTCCAACAGGGAATTCTTCAGCATTGGCGATGACTGCATTGTGATCCAAAGCGAGAACATAGTCGTCTTTGGTTCTAACAATATATTTGGCGAGTAACTGTTCAGGAGTCACTGCGTAAATTTCGTTTTTGCGCTTTTTAATGTTACGGAAGTAACATTTTCTGCACGGAAAAACTGTTGTCATCCCAAGTATGCCGCAGATGTCTGAATGTGCTGGGTTATCGGCCATAATGCACATTAATGGCGCAGTTACTAAAACCATTTCTTTTTCTTCTGCTGAATACATTAGTACACCCTTCTCAAGTACCTTTAAGTCATCAACAATGAAAGGAATGATATTTAAGGCATTAATTCCATCTGTCTTGGGCGCCGTCCAAATGAAGCAGGCGTTTTCCCTTTTCGATCTGTCTTCAAAAAGCAATCCAGCAGAGTTCATAAACCAACTTTCGTAGGGATTGTACTGCTTTGAGATATTTCCTGAATGTGATCAGAAAATAAAATAATTCGCGTTACCTTGACTTTATAATACTGATTCTGAACAATGTTTCCATTGCTGTCACACTTGTTACGTTTCAAAGGAGATTTGCTAAGAACTAAAGATTGATGCAAATAATCCAGTCCTTGACCATCACCATCCAAAGAAAAGCATTTGCTACCGCATACATTCGATTCGTAATGTCCTCCTAATTGGAGCCAGGGAATCTCCATAGTAATTGTTGAAATACCAAAGAAATCGTCTTGCTCAAGAACACGGTAGCCTGCAGCGAGTCGAATTTGAATCTTTGTGTGAAACGACTTGACCAAGAAAAGGTCTTTATTTCTCAAGTAGACAAAGTCTCCAAACCAGTAATCTTTTCCGATTTCAGTTACCATAGGGTGTTGGAATGAAGGGTTTTCTTTCCACTTTTTACCTTGATGAAGATCAAGCGATTGATCAGTTGTATGATCGGAAAGCTTGGTAATTTTACTGGCCTTCGTTGGGTTCAATGTTGTTAGTCTGATATGCTCAGAAGGCAGATTCAAGAAGATTTTTCTTTCGACCATTTCATCTTTATTTTGGAGCTTATTAAAGGCTTTGCCAGTGGTAGTTTCTGTATCCGTTTTAAAAACAGGGATATTATTGCCTTTGCGAGATTGAAAATTCCAAAGGTTGTCCAGAGCCGGAAGTTCAAAACTTCTGTTATCTTCTACAGCATTATCTTTCAATTTGAGCAACAAGTTCATGGTGTAAATCATTTTCTTTGATTGTCTTCTGGATAACTGGTCGTCGTCTCCATTTACAAGAGCTTGCAAAACAAATTTTTGGGTAGTGTTGAAAGGATAGTGTGATTGAACGAAGTTGTTCCATTCAACACCAGAGGAGGCTTCCCAAATGGGTACCATACCATTAAATGTATTAATATCGTTGGTTGCATCTTCAGTATTAGCTTCGTTCTGAACTGCACTAAATCTTCCAACAAAAAATTCGGTAGCAGAGTCGTTGAGTGTGCTTTCATTGATTTCCTCTTTTTCTGACTCTAATTCATCATCAGAATCATTATCATCGTTTTCACTAGAAATTTCAATATCTTCCTCGTTATACTGATCCTCAATACTGTTCAATAACAGATCTTCGGATACTTGAATGTTTTCATCTGATAATTCAACAATTAATTCGGGGTCGTTATCTTCAGAAATGGAAATGTTACTGGGAGTTATAGGAGTGACGTTTGCTGACATTGCTTTTTGTTGACCAGTAGTACGACAGTGACGCTTGATGTTCTGTGAAACTATTGTTTTTCGGCATTCAGCACAATAAATTGTTTGGCGAGCCTTTTCAGTTTTCTTGATTCGACGGAATGTATGTTCGAACATCTTTAATTAAGAAAAAGGAACGGCTTCTCTTCTTGACCTTTAACCTTTCAAATACTCTTAATGGTGACTGTTTTTGGCATAAAGGCAAACTTTTTTTATTAAGTTTTCTTTAATAACCTTCATTCATTTTTTGTTTTTTTTTTACATTGATTGATCTTAGAGCATCCCCAGCAGTGCCCGATAAAAAACTCTTAAGTTTGTGTTTTTTTTTAAATTCAGCAATAAAAGTTTTGTCAACCCCAGCAGTTTAAAAAAAACTCTTAAATAACTGACCTCAAAAACCTTAATTAATTAAATGTACCTGAAAAAAAAAGTGTCAAGATCTTTTTACTCAATCCCAAATTTTTTAAGATGGAACAACTCGCAGCCATGGCACTCCTGAATCTCAGAAAGCGTGCAAATAATAATGTCCTTCATATACTGAACATCAAAATACTTAAGGATGAAATGGACAGTCAGTCAATGACAGGTGGTTCAGTCGAGAGACGCAGAGTCATGGACAGAGACAGTGAATCCGGCTATCAACGTCTATTAAATGATTACTTTGTCGAAAACCCGGTTTACGGCGAAAAAGAATTTCGTCGTCGATTCAGAATGCGTAAGAATGTTTTTCTTCGAATTGTGGAAGCTATCACCGAGCATGATCCGTATTTCCAAAGAACGCCAAATGCTGCTGGAAAAATGGGCCTTCATCCGTTGCAGAAGGCTACTGCTGCATTACGTCAGCTATGCTACGGCGTCAGCGCTGATACGGTAGACGAGTATTTGCGTTTGGGTGAAAGTACTGCCTTGTTAAGTATGAAGAAATTCTGCGCTGCTGTCGTTGAGTTTTTTGGAGAGGAGTATCTTAGAAGACCCAACGAAGAAGATACCGAGAGACTCCTCGAAGAGAACAAAAAACGTGGATTCCCAGGTATGCTCGGGGCTCTCGATTGCAAGCACTGGACTTGGAAAAACTGTCCAACAGCATACCATGGTCAGTATACCGGCAAGGAAAAGAAGCCGACATTGATTTTGGAAGCAGTGTCTTCGTATGACCTGTGGATCTGGCATGCCCATTTTGGCTTACCAGGTTCATTGAATGACATTAATGTTCTTGACAGATCGGATTTGTTCGATGAATATACGAACGGCAGCAGCGTGGTTGTGAAGTTTGACGTCGGTGACCAGGAGTTTACCATGGGGTATTATCTTGCCGATGGGATATACCTCAACGTTGCCAATATGGTAAAGACATTTTCTGTTTCAAAACCTGGTGCCGAGGCAGTAAATATCGTTTCTAAAATATTAAAATATATATGCTAGCTATTAATCATGACTTCTTGAAATATAGAACTTCGCTAAACAACAAGAAGTATGCCGTAAGGATGTCGAGAGGTCTTTTGGCGTATTACAGGCTCGATTTGCTATAATTAGTTGTCCTGCAAGATTGTGGAAAAGAAAAGATCTCGGTATGATCATGAAGGCGTGCATAATTATGCATAATATGATAGTCGAAGACGAGCGGGATGAGAGCGGCAGCCTTCCAAACAATCACTTTAAGTCTCATCCTGCCAACCCTTCTGATGCTGCAGACATTTCTCGCGATCCTTCGTTCTATAGCTTTTCTAGCTATTTAGCGCGCCACGGAAACATCATTGATGCATCTGAACATTTCAGATTGAAGAAGGCCTTGGTCGGGCATCTCTGGCATAGAAAAGGATATGGAATTGTTTAGACTTCACTTCTAAATAAAATTCACTCAAAAGTATAGGTCTATCTAGTTTTAAAAAATATAAATAATTTTGAGATGGAACAGAGGATTAAACATATTTATTGTTCACCATTAAGATCTTCTGTACGAAGTATTTCGTTCTCAAACTCAGCTTGGAGGCGCTCCAAAGCTTGTTTGCGACAAAGCTTATAGAAACGCAAAGTCTCTTCATCATCCTTGAACGTCTCCAAGTCAACGCTGAACAATCTCTCATCCAACAACTTTTGATTGACTGCCAAAAGCTTTTGGTTGACAGCCAATTACTCCTGCTTAATGGCGTTCGCTATATCCATCTTCTTCATCATCTCAGAGTATTCGTCTGCTAGCTGTTGCTGGTTTGTTTCCCAGTTAACCAAGGTATCAGTGATCTTCTTGTCCACGGAAGCCTGATTCGTGCTCTTTTTGCGTCCATTAGGACGCGCAATGATGGGTCCATCACTTTCACCATTTTCATCCTCAGCAATCACTGTTGACGTCCCAACCTCAGTAGCAGCAGAGCTACCAGGAGCACAAGAAGCGGTAATCGTTCTCTTGGAACCTGCCTTTACCGCCTGTTTTCTCACGATCGTGGCGTCTCTTCTTGCCGTCTTATCATTCCACTTTGGACTATTACGACGTACCAAAAAACAATCGTAAAAAGCGAAATGAACACGGTATTTTGTTTGAAACGAATTGAAAGCATCCCCCAACTATTTGTTAAATTATTTGATTTAAACTATTATATCCTTTTATCGATAGTTATATGATAATTACTTCATCTGCAGCAGCATTACCGCTTTTTTTGCGTCGCTGGATTGCTGCGACACAGCCGCAGTACTTGCTGACAGCAGCCGAAATGTTCCCCCAATGGTTTTTGAAAGCCTTCTCGTTTCTTTCTGGCCAGTCGAGCTCCCTCTCCGCCTTAAAGTCGTTCATAATTAACTTCCAGAACACTTCCGCCTTCATCAAATTACAATGGACTGCCTGCTCCGAGATGCGCAACCATGACTTGTACACCTGGACATTCTCCTCGTGTGTCCAGCGGAAACGCTTCAACTTGCTGGTATCGGAAGGACCAGCATCCTCATTGCCACTTTGCTCGTAGTCGTCAATTCCATGGACATTACCATCATCACTGGCATTGTTACTAGAATAGTTGCCGTTGTCGAAGTCAGAATCGTTGTTATTGCTCATTTGTATTAAAAAAAGTTATAGAGATAAAAAGGGGTATTTTTTATTGATGTTTTTTTCCTATAAAAAAACACTTCGGATTGGGAAAAGTTATGGGAAATTTTGATTTCCCAAAGTTAAGGGTTTTTTATCGGGCACTGCCGGGGATGCTCTAATTACGAGGTATTTAGAGCAACTACTGCTACAGAATATATAGATTAACATATTCATAGCTTCCGATCAATATTAGAAGAATGTCAGAAAATACATGTTCATTTATAAAGTCCAATGTCGTTTTACCCGTAGATATCATAACCTGCGATTAATTGGTATGTAAATATGAATAATCTGTCTAAGTAATGTGTTTTCTTATTGTTATTTTACACTATAGAGAATCACGTTCGTGTTTGGCCCATGACTAAATGGTTTATAAGGTATTTTATGACATGTAATCGCTCAGAGTGAAAATTTTCTAATAGAAATTTGATTACTGTAGACGAGCAAGATAACATAACCATCGTGGTGGTATGTAGGATAATATAATCGTTTGTCATGATCGCTAATTTCTCCTATTTGTTTTATAGAACATTCAATTTGCCCTATACGTTATCGTCTGGATTGTGGAATCCAATTTCAGTGTTTTCTTAGTGGGATGTAAGCCGTATTGCTTGGTTCTGCAACCGTCTGTCTGCCTGGTCAAAGCTTGTATAGTTTTTATTTGCCAATCAATGTACCTGTCATTGTATCTGGTTTCTGAATCTATCAAATGGCACAATTGGTGTCTGGCTGCCCAACTGGTTAGAATAGTCCCCGTTTGCCTAGTATCCGAGCTGGTAGCATCCTGGAGAACCGGGCTACCTATCGGTACGGCCATACGAGCTGGTAGCAACCTGGAGAACCCGGCTACCTGCCAATACTAGCACTGAAATTCTAATATTTTATTTTTAAAAACATAATTTATTTAAAAATAAACCGTTACACTATAATTCTTTATAAGCCAATTTTTCATCCTCCCTTACACAAACGTTCAAATTAAGAAATTTTACTCATCACTGAAAAAATCTGCGGTGGTGTTGTCCTTTAATTTTTCTTCACTACTTTATACGAGATCATCCTTTTCCTTTGGAAACGGAATAATTCATATAAAACTCACTTCTTTGTCAAGGAATCATCTTACAGCTGTCAAGCCATAAGAATAACTCCTCTCAAACCACATTGTCTATTTGTTCAGATCATCTTTAAGCTCATAGCCTAAAGAATAGTTTAATTTATAACTTAACTCTTAAAGATATCATCCCGATAACGGAATACCATCTTTAAGTGCTCTGCCAAATATGATATTGTTATCATCCTTTCTTTTTGAAAGGAAGAACGGCTATTATGTATCCTACTTCGTATATAAAATCATCCTTTTGAATTCATTATATCCATAAGGAATAGTTTATTTACTCTGTTAATTTTACACATTCGATATCATCTACAGACTCTGTCCTTAAGAATACCATTGTCTCGTCTTTAATTTCACTCAATAATCACATACTCTTTATCATCTTGTACAATTAGTACCAAGAATATCGAAAGTATATAAGATCAATCCACTTCATTTGTCTTCGATTCTGCTCCTATATGAAGATAAGAACCCACTATCGCTTAGTTAAAAGCCTCATTTTATTACACACTCGGATGGCAACCTACTGCGTGGTACTCACTTAAACTATATATTAAATCGCCTTCTATAAACCTCATTACTCTACAACCTAATAAATGTAGAGTTAATTGACATAAATAGAAATAGTCTATATCACAGATCTATTGGTGAAAAACCTAACAAGATCCAGTAACATTGAAAGAATCTAAATATATTCATTCTGACATAAGATCACAAACTTTACTTGTATATTGGACAGCCAAAAAACAGATTTATTGATGACTAATTACTGTCAAATATGAAATTAGTTTCCAGCAGTCGTTTAGTATAAATATATACCAAATTATTATCTTAACATCCTGATCAATAAATTTATAAAGAAATTCTAAACGTACTCATATAGTTTGTTTTGTTTTTTATTTTTGTTTAATCAGACTACGGAATTTATTACATACCTTTTTTTTGAATCACCCAAGCAGTACACTCTTCGTTGTTCGTAGCCAGAATATGCTAGGAAGCAGATTAACTCTGTTTAGGAAAAGCCATTTGCTTTCTAATTTACGTCTCTTCATTAAGTATCGAACATGATAGACATACTTGACTTTGCCAGAAGGATCATAAAACGACTTTTGTCTAGTTTGAACTTCACTGGCCTTTGAGAGAGCATCAGCATGTAAATCGGGGAGATGTTGATTTAAATATAACAACCATCTTTCACTTTCAAAAGTCTTTGGTTCCAAAGCCTTAATGTCAGCACCAATAGAAACATCCGGAGTGAAACTATATAACAACTCAAAAGAAGACTATCCAGCAGACGTATGTTTGCTATTATTGTAAGCATACCTTAAAAAGGGCAAATATCATCCCAAGTTAAAGGATCATCATGGACATAGGTTGCTAATCCATCATTTGTTCTATTGAACCTTTCAACTAGGCTATCGGTACTTGGATGTTGTACAATTGTTAGCGAGCGTTTAATATATAAACGAGAACAAACAATATTCATGACAGTTGATACAAAATTTGAGCCTTTATCCGTGATAAGTGTGCGTAATGTACCAAACTTAAGAACGTTTTTAAATAAGAGAACTTGCGCCACATAATCAAAATAGACAGAACCAAGTGTTATTATAAATTGGTAGTTGTTTTAATGTGGTTTATGTAGGAATTTGTAAAGTTTGTAGTGAGCACCAAATCAAGTTATTAGGTTTGATTACGCCTTTTTATGAGTAGTAAATAAGGTAGGCTTTAGGAAGGTAGTAATACTGTTTGAACGTTTACGTCAAGTTGAGTATAACGATAAGAAATCAATAGTTTTGATTTAGGATGATAGATATATTATGTCTTCAAAAGTAGAAGAATAATATATAAGAGTTAAGGGATGGTTTACTTAGACTGTTTGAAGTATGTATGTTTCTTTTATCAGATGTCTACTATACAAGGTCTAACAATTTATAGAACGTTTTGTTTGACAGAGGTTTTCTTATAAATTAGAATAAACAAAATAGATGGAGAAACTTAATCTCGACTGTTTAAAGTATGTAGGTCTCTTATTACAGAGGTTTACTTTACATGATCGAATATTATACTGAAGGTTTCTTATTACAGAGGTTTTCTAGTATATATGCATTTAAGTTTTTATGCAGTGAAGTTTTTATTACGACTGATTGAAGTATGTAGGTTTCTTATTACAGAGGTTTACTATACAAGATCGTGCTATATATTGAAGGTTTCTTGTTACAGATGTTTTCTAATATATAAATAAAAGAGAAGAAGAAAAAAAGGAAGAAAAGAAGGAAAAAAAGAAGGTAAAAAATAAAGAGCGATAAAGGACTCTGAAAAAATAGATGTTAAATTGAGATAAGAGAAGTCTGAATTTTATTATTTGAATTTTGGAAGGATATTTATATTTGTTATAAGGGCTTGTGTGACCACGTGCTGTTTTTGATAAGGGATTTAAAGGGTGTTACAAAGTCACAGACTGGATCTTTACACGTCCTTCCCCTTAGAAGAGACAGGTCTCCTATGTTTATAATGTTTCTTGACAGCCAAGGCTCTTAAGTGTTTGAATAGTATAAGGTTGTTAAAGCTGCTTCTATATTTGTCGGTGTAGTAATGATGATATTTGAGTGATAATTGTGAATCGGGGTCAACGGTAGTGTCAATAAATAATTTAGTTGTTTTTTGTGAATGTCTTTTGAGGATGGTGAGTAATCTTTCTGTTTTTTCTAATTCTAATACCAGTCGCTAGATTTTGTTAGGTAATTCAGTTGCCTCTTTGTTCAGACGCATTTCTACTATATCAAGGACCATGGATATACTCTCGGAAGTGGTAAGTGGTTTGAGATGGAGGAAGGGCGTGATTTCTAAGGTGTGTTGTATGGGATTCATTGTGTGTATTAAGAGTAGAATTGAAAAAAGAAGGATTAAATATGACTTTAGGATTTTTTAAATCTTCAATTTGTTGCCATGCACATGTCGAGACTGAATTTCTCCGTCTATCTTTTTGAGTAGATATGTAGAGTTCGGGAAACATTTGTGTATGATGTAGGGTCCTTGATATCTATCTTCTAGCTTTGCTGATATGTTGTTCGCAATGATTTCATGATATTTTAATACGAGATCGCCGAGCTGATACGGTGGTTTATTGGTTTTCTCATTTGAAAGTATCCATTTATTCACCATCTTAAGTTGATTTTCCTGGGCTTTGTTAATGTTGGTTACTGCAGTTTGTTGTACTTGAATAAACTTTTCTTTAAATAAGTTAAAGTTGTTGAGAATCATCTCTTCAGTAAACTCTTCATCAAAGACATCCGGATTTCCCATAAAATTATCAAACGGTGTTCGGGGTTGCCTGCCGTACAACAATTCGAATGGTGATAGCTTAGTACTTGCTTGGATTATGCATCGATATGAAAATAAGATAACAGGTAGGTATAAGTGCCAATCCGGTTTTTCTTCCACTGATAGTTTTCGTAGACATGATCCGAAAGTTCGATTAAATCGTTCCACCAGTTCATTTCCTTGAGGATGATAAGCCGAACTAAATTTGTGCTTTATCCCGAAATCATTACATAGGGTGTTTATCAATAAGTTTGAAAAGGGGTTACCGTTATCTGTTATAAGTATACTTGGTGTTGAATGTCGCGAGATTACATCTTCCACAAAGAAAATCATAACTTCAATTGAAGTTGCATGTGTCAAAGCTTTGGCTTCTACCCATATATTGAAATAGTCAATAGCTACAATAATATATCTAGGGCCTCCTCGTGATGATTGCACATGTTTTATATCCATCGACACCTGTTGAAATGGTCCAAGAGGTACAGGTATGACATGAGGTTAATCTAGTTCAATTTCCTTTCCTTTTTGTTGACATCGTTCACAAGAAGATACCCAATCTTTGATATTCTGAATCATTCCATCCCAGTAATACTTGGCCGATATTTTTGAATATGTATTTTTGAAAGCGTAGTGTCCTCCCATTGGATGGTTGTGATACATTTGAAAAGTATTGATAGCGTCTGGTAATGGTAACACGAGCCTGAGAGGTGTCTTTCTGTAAAGGTTGTGTTCCTGAGAAAAATAGTGTTTAAAATTTACTCGTAGATAATTGGCTTCTTGAGGTGTGGCTGAAATCAGATATTCTAAAGTTTCAAGATAGTAAAGTAATTGTTCGTATCTTGTGTTATCCATGTTGTAATAGTGTAAATAAGTTGATAATAATTGTGTTCCAATAAAATAAATGTAGAAGTGAAGAAAAGATAGTTGAAATATTTACAAGTTGAAACATAAAGGGGTTTATATACATATTTTTAGTCTTGGTGAATGAGACTGGGATTTATTGCCGGTATTCCATTAGTATGTTGAAGTTGTGGTACAAAAAGCCTTGGTTGTGCAAGTTTTATGGCATTACGGGTCATTGATTTTAATATCCAAGTCGGGAGAAGAAATCTGCATTTTCGTTTACTCTTCCGGGACGATAGATGATATCAAATTCATATTCTTTGAGGATAGCAACCCACCGAGCGAGAATACCCGTGTATTCCGTGGTACTGTTGAGGATTCCTCTTAGACTAGACTGATCTGTGAGTACCGTAAATTTCGAGCCAAGAAGATATGGTCGTAATATCTCCACACACCAATTCAGTGCTAGCAATTCTAATTTGGACACTCCATAGTTTTCTTCCGATTGTTTCAAGCCTCGACTAAGATATAGTATCACACGCTCTTTTTCTTCGTCGTCATATTGACTGAGAACACCACCAATACCAGTACGTGAAGCGTCTGTCATCAAGGTAAATGGCGTGTCAAAGTTGGGTCGAATACGTATAGCAGCTTCGGTTAGGACTTTCTTAAGAGCTTCAAACGCTTTAGTGGCTTTTTTATTCCATACGTTCGGTACTCATTTCTTGATTTTTGTTAAATCATGTACAGGTCTAGCTATACTGGCAAAGGCGGGTACGTATCTCCGGTAATAAGATGCTAAGGCAACGAAACTTTTGATTTCTCTAACTGTAGTAGGTTGTTGGTAATTCAAGAGTATTTCTACTTTAGCAGGGTTTGTTGAAACACCTTCTTTGGAAACTACAAAGCCCAAAAATTCGAGAGAGTCCTTAAAGAAATTGCACTTGGATGGATTCAATACCAATTTTGCTCTTCGAATGCACTGGAATACTTTTTCAATGTCCAATATATGTTGTTCGTGAGATTTAGAATATATATTTTGATCATCCAAATACGAAATAACACATTGACTAAATAAATCTCTGAATGTAAGCATCATCAATCGACTAAAGCTGTAAGGACTGTTAGATAAACCCATTGGCATACAATTATATTCGTAAGTTCCAAATTTGGTAACAAAGGCTGTTTTTTCTTTACTATAAGGATCCATAGGAATCTGATGGAAGGCCGTTCGCATATCTAAAGCAGAGAACACTGTTGCTGTTCCTAACCGATCCAGTAAAACATGGATCCTTGGTAATGGAAAGGCATCCTTCTTTGTTATATCATTCGATTTTTGGTAATTAATCACCACCCGATAGCTTTTTGTATCCTTCTTTTTCACCAAAATGATAGGCGCAGCGTAAGGGCTCGTTGATGGTCGTATGATTCCTAACGCACAGTGTTTATCAAGTTCTTCTTTTAATGCAACGGATTCTTCGGGAGAGATTCTGTAAGGTCTTGTCCGTATGGGAATTTTATCTTCAGTAATAATTTTATGATATACCAAGTCTGTTTGTCCCAGAGTTTTACCATCCCTGTCAAAGATATCTTTAAAATTATTTATCAGTTTCAAAAAATCAGCCTTCAACTCCTCCGAAGTTTCTCCTATTTGGGTCTGATCCAATTGTTCTTCTGATAAAGTAGAGTCTTCGGTCACGCGGATGTTTTCACTTTCCTCTTCAGACAGTGGTTTGATTTCATATGTGGCTAAAACCTCAAATTCTGCAATCATGGCAATAACAGTATCTTGATACAACGTTATGGAATCTTCGGTCATGTTTTGTAATTGGGCCCGAAATTTATATTCATGTGGTTCCAAAATAAGTTTAGACAAGGTTATATATGGTTCAAGAGAGGGATTTATTTCAAAATATTGCATGTTGGATTTTTAAGGCAAGTTTAAGTTTATAGGAACATTGGATTTTGCAAGTATAATAAGGTTTCCGCCTTTCTTGATTTGTATACGACTATCCTTGTTTTGTACTTGGCTATCCTCCTTGGTGGTAATACAATGAAAATCATTGGTGATAGTCATCAATTCAGCTTCCTCTTCGGATTCATCCTCGACTTCAGATTCTTCTTCGGATTCTTAGCTCGTATCATCCTCTGATTCGGATTCTTCATATTCGGGTAACAGAAAATTCAGTGCCGTGTTTTTCTTATTCATCATATTAGTCACAGGTTCTTGTGTTTCTTTATTGAAGAAAATGTCAATCTTGGTCAGTTGCTTCTTATAAGTTATCGTCATTTGTGGGAGTTCGTAGTTGATAATAGCTTTAGTTCGCTGTAACCAATTGTTTCCGATGATTAAAGGGTAAGGCATGCTGGGTAACACTTCCACCGTGATAGGTACAATTAATCCATTAACATCGATAGGTACATCATATATAACCCCTAGAGAAGCATATTCCTTGTTGTTTCCTAGAACAAATTTTTTAGTGGATGCTGCATCGATTGAATATCCTAATACATCGGCTAAACCCTTCGTAATGATGATTTTTGAAGCTCCACAATCGATTAAGGTTTCTATCTTGGCTTGACCAATTTGCATTAAACAGCGTAAGGCAGTAATTCCCTCATCTTCATTTTGATTTAGATTTGCAAATGAATGTGGATGTGCGGTAGCGGAGATTACGAATTGTTTAATTTTATTTTTTCTGTCTTTGTTGAAACGGGTTTGCAATGAAGGAATGACGTTAAAGAGTTGCTTAAAACTTATCCCTGCTGTTCTGTCGAGCATATCAGATGCAATATCATATCCAGATTCGTTGATTCGTTGACGAATGGTTCGTTTTAGTGATGTACTTTTAGGTTTTACTCGGTCCTCGATCATTGGTTCTTCAGCTAAAATTGGTGGAATGTTGAGGTTGGGTTCAATAGTGGTGACAGGTGGAGCTGGAGGTTTGGCTGATGATCTTGTTTTTGATGATTTTATTATAATTTTTCTTGATATCCCATATGGAGCAGCGGGTAAAACTTGGGTAACTTCAGTTTTTTCGGCTGGCATGAGAGTGTTTTGTGATATAGGATTTGGAATATTAGGGATCGATGGCCTATAATCTATCGACTTAAACAGTTTTTTGACTGTTCAGATGGTTTGCTATAATGTTGTACAGGCATCAAGACTTGTTGTGAATGATTTGGGATGTAGACCAATTGTCCATTAAATATTTGAGTACTGTATCCTTGTCCATAATTGGTTTGATTTTCCATTATCTGAGGCTGATGCCATTGATTGGGCATAACATTACTAGGCATGGCAAGATGTCCATGGTTCATTATAGCTGCCTGCATATTTCCTTGTTGAGGTTCCATAATTGTCAAGGATTGAGGGGCTTGTCTACTTCCATTTGATGGTTCCGTGTTGGGCTACTGATTTCCTTGGCTCTGATTATTATTGGAGTAGGTATTGTAATTATTGCTGCGACTATTGTAAAATTGACCTTAATTGTTATATGATCCGCCGTTTGTATTATTATTACGATGATTACTGTTACAGTTACCAGGTTGATTATTTTGTTGTTATTCTAATATCCATTATTAGCATAAAGATTGGCTTCAGTATTGCGTCAATAATTATTCCCATTGCGATTATTAGAGTGATTATTGTTGTTATTGATATTATTGTAATTATGATTTGTATTGCCATTGTTGTTATGATAATTGTTATTAAAGTTGCCGTTGTTATTATTTTTGTAGTTGTTTTTGTATTTTTGTTGTCGTTGTTCATAACTGTCTTGTATAGCTTTGGCGGTTTCAGAGCGGATCAATTCTGTAAGTTGAGATGGTGTAATGGGAGCTTCTGTAGAAGAAGTTACCATAGGTTGCAAAGTTTCTATGGGACTTGTCGGTACAGAGTTAGAGACAATAGGAGAGGCGGTGGTAGAACTAACTGAGTCTCTTCCTTGAAACAGCTCGTTGCTTCGAGAAAAGGTGGCAATTTGTTGGAATGGGTTACGGAGGTTTGACTTGAGGAACTCCATGGTGTACGGGATAGCCATTCCAATATCCTTGTGCTAATCGCACACAGTCTTCATGTGTTCCCGCACCTGTGCATACGCAATGTTCTTGTATGGCAAATAACAGTCCATATTTAAACCTTGAGCTTATGGTGGTTTCATCGGTGATTCCCGCAACAACAGCAGCTTCGGTTAATCGATTTAAAAAATTGATGGGAGACTCATCTTCTAATTGACTGATTCCGTTAAATGCATCTTTTCTTTGTTCTTGCATTTCTTCTGTAAAATATTTGCTTGTAAAAACTCCAATGACCGATTGGTAAGCATGACTAATTGCTTCTTCAGCACTTGGGTACAAGGTGTCCAAGTCGGCTCGAGCCTTTCCAGTTAATAATGCCTTGAATGACATAACCTTTTGTCTATCCTCAGTTATATTCTTGAGTGCAAAATAATCTTCCAGATTGTTTTTAAATTTGATAAAGTCTTCACCGTCATAACCGCGGAATTGATATAGTCTTTTGTTAATGTTGAAGGGTTCAGTGGATGAGTATGATGACGCCAACACAGTGGATCTTTGCGACATGTTAATAGGTAGTCTTTGGTCCATTTCGAATAATTTTTGATGATAATTTCCCCTGTTAGTGAGCACCACGTATCATAAATTGGTAGTTGGTTTAATGTGGTTTAGGTAGCAGTTTGTAAAGTTTGTCGTGAGCACCAAATCAAGTTATTAGGTTTGATTACGCCTTTTTATGAGTAGTAAATAAGGTAGGCTTTAGGAAGGTAGTAATACTGTTTGAACTTTTGCGTCAAATTGAGTATAACGATAAAAAATCAATAGTATTGATTTAGGATGATAGTTATATTATGTCTTTAAAAGTAGAAGAATAATATATAAGAGTTAAGGGATGGTTTACTTAGACTGTTTGAAGTATGTACAGTAGTGCTAAAAACTGTCTCACAAAACTTACATCGACGATAACATCCGCCTTAACTACAGTATTCAAAAAATTAAAAATGCTCCTAGAAGAGGGATGTTATTTACACGTTACGCAGTAGTTAGACGTTTTTGCCGGCGTTGCATGCACTACAAACATAGAAAACGTCTTTTTCACATTAAATTGTTTCTGTTTATGGCGTTATACGGACACTTTTTTCGGCTTCCAAATAAGGGCTTTGCCCCAAACTTTTTTTGTCATGCCATTGGGACTTCGATAGCCATTTGCTATAAAAATCCCATCTAAAAAACTTGTTTTTCCCAGAACAATGTTTTACTGTTATTTTCGTATTATTTATACTTGCAATGCCTAAAAAACTTAGCCAAGACACCCGAAACAACGTGAAGTCCCTTATTGCTTGTGGAAAAACAACTAAGCAAATAGTTGAAACAGGAGTATCCCGAGCTCAAGTTATTCGAAAGAAAAATGTGAATGGTCCTGATCTCGAGCAATGTAATGGTGGCCGACCAAGTTTGATTCCTAAGAGAACTAAACAAGTAGTTAGTTTTCAAGTTTGAAGGGGTTATTTAGCTACAGCTAAGGATGTTCAGAAGTATTTGCAAGAGATCGGTTACAATTACGGCTATTCTTAGATCACTTACTTAATGAGATCTCTTGTTCTTAAATCATCATTCAAGAAAAAAAAACCACTCATTAGCAATGTCAATAGAAAAAAAAGATTTCGTTGGGCTAAAAAACATAAAGACTGGCCCGTAGATGACTGGAAAAAGGTTGTCTACTCGGACGAGACAAAAGTAAACAGATGGGGATCTAATGGAGCTCAAATTACTTGGAAACTTAAAGATGACTCATTGCAGCCTCATAATATTCAAACAAGATTGAAAGGTGCTGGCGGCTCTATAATGGTCTGGGGATGTATGACATCACTTGGAATAGGCTATGCATGCCGCATAGTGGAGTACCCAATTAATTCCGAGCTGTATACTCACATTCTGGGCACAACATACAAGGACACACTTGATTATTACGGATTAAGCGGTACGGATGTGATTTTCCAACAAGACGGAGATCCCAAGCACACCTCCAAATTTACAAAGCAATCGTTGGAAACAAATAAAATCAACTATATTCGAGACTGGCTACCCAATAGTCCCGACTTGAAACCCATCGAACACCTTTGGTATCACATAAAAGTTAAGTTAGACAGCTATTCGACTAAGCCAAGGAATACCGATGAATTGTGGGACCGCTTCAAAAAGGAATGAAATGGTTTCACTTTGGAGGATATGCAAAGGTATTACGAAAGTATTCCCAAAAGAATCGAGGGAGCTATTAAAGGAAAAGGTGGTTATACAAAATATTAAAATAAACATCGTCCCTCTTCTTTTGACCTAAAAGTAACCTTTTTGTGATTGTTTATATGTTGCCTTAAATAGCATAACTCCAATTACCAAAATAAATAATTAACTGTCATTAACAACTCCTCTTTAAAATTTGGAATCCGTATCATTGTTTTTCGCCATATGATATTAATTTTTAGTTTTTGTTAGACAGTTTTTAGCACTACTGTATGTCAGCTGCCGAAATTGCACCAACAGAAGTACGAGTGATAGTTTGGAAAGGTAGAGTCGCATTGTTAGTATCTCTCTTGTACATTTGACACTTCGAACAACCAAGAATCCGATTCCTCACATATTCTGTCATGGACCGCCACAATCCCACTTGCTTCACCTTAGACATAGTCTTGTCAAAACCAAAATGACTACCAGTCAGAAAATTATACATTATCCACAATATCTACGCTATCAATTTGCGTGGTAACACTGGAACATTCATCTTCCAGAATGCATTATTGTTGTAAGAGAATAATTTAGTAGTTGACTCTAGCTTTTCTTTTCCCTTTTAAAGAGCGGAGAAGATATGATCTTCTTTTTGTAAGGTCAACAACGACGGAACCTCCACATCTGGAACATTTGAGCTAGACAAAGACGCTTGTACCTGTTGATGTTGTCGACTCAACACATCAACATCAATGTTGTGTACACTTCCTCTGTGTACAATCATAAAACGATAACTTTTGATAGTCATGTTCTAACGGGGAATTCGACAACGAGGCATTTCTGTTGTCAAAATCAATTTTAAACCAATGTTATACGTAAAAATGTTAAATTCAGAAGATTAATGTAACAATAAAGGTAGTCTAGTGACCACACTATCACCAAACACGCTTCAATTGTACTATAGTTTTGCTCGGAAACTTTCAAAGAACGACTCGCAAACGCAACAGGTCTATCATGCTGAACTAACACCGCACAAATACCGAGCTAACTTCAATCTGTATATAGACTGAACGGAGCTTGTGGATCCGGGAAAGCCATATTGGTCAGGTTACACACAGTCTGTTTAAATTAATCAAAGATAAAAGACGTTCCTTGGTCCAAGTAAAATCGTCATCTTTCTTCAGCAACTATATAAGAGAGCTGCAATCATTGCCAAATTCTTAATAAATTCGTGATAAAACAATATATACCAAAAACATTGTAGCGCTTAAATTAATGGCGGTAAGGGTCAATCACCGATATTCGTTGTTTTGTCCGTATTTGCACGAATTCCACGCGCACAGAAGAGAAAACCAAGAAATTTGACTTCTGGCTGAAACCATTAGCATTTTTTTGGAGAAATCCTAAGGTTGAAATCTTGCAATCTAGCTAACACAAATTCTTAACTTGCAAAATGATCTAAAATGTGTTATCAAAGCGAATTTAATCATCCAAGTACATCATTATATTCTTCAGACCAGTAATTAAATCAATTGTAGTGAAATAAATATGACGGTTCAACTGATCTACCAATTGGGAAACTCTAAGAATTGGGTACTTGTCGGCAACTGTCATGCGGTTTAAGTCTCAGTAATCGACGTAAAAAAGCTTTGTATCAGCAGGCTTACTCAATAACTCCACAGGAGACAAGCAAGGGCTATCACTAGGCTCAATTACACGTTTCTGCAGATACTCGATCACCATTTCATCAATCAACCCAATTTCCGCTAGGGGTCTGCGATAATCACGAGTAGCAACAGGATTAAAACCGCCAGTTTCAATACGATGCTTGTACGGAGCGTTAGTTAAAGCTTGTTGTTCGTCAACTGCAGTGATTCCACGAAATTCACTTGACAGATCCTGCGTAATCTGCGCTAAATCCTGAGAAGAATTGATATGAGCACTATTTACTTTAAACAATTTTTTAAATGGTTGATTAACCAAATCTCCTCAGATTCCATCCAATCCATGCCAAAGATCATCTTCTTATGCAGATCCGCAACAAATATACCTGTGCTACAGTAGACATAATAACTTCGGTATTGAACTCCAAAACGCTAAACTATCGGTATGTTGGATCGTGCCATTACCATACGCGATGTCAAAGCCAGGGCAGGAAGTTACTAGCAATCCAAATTCCTGTGCTTTTACCAAATCAATGGAGCAAATCATAGATCCAATGTCGACGAATACTTTCGGCAATTGTCTTCCATTCGGCATAAGAGCGTCAACATAAGAATGGCCCTTTGCTCGGCCCACGGTCGCTAAGTTCATCCTAGACCTGCAAAAATAGAAGGAAATACTTCTTTAACAAGATCCTCTGTTACCTAACTTTTCTGTTATCTAGAATAGTTTCGGAAATGATCATCATTTGTACGAGAGTTGTTACCCGAATCACCGTAGTTTCCATCGATATCACGGCTAATTCCACCATTATCACGGTTATTTCCACCATTATCACGGTAATTTCCACCACTGGGTTTAATTCGACAATCTTTCTTGAGATGGCCAGGTTTCTTGCACCGATAACATACTCTTGTTTCCCGAGGTTGTTGAACGTTCTAAGACGTAGGATACAAACTAGGAGTTATCAAAGCAACAGGTAACACGGAAGTGGAGTTGCCATTTCCGGCTATATTCAGATGAATTTCCTTACGAGAACAAATAAGAATTGCTTCATCGAATGATTCGGAACTTTTCATTATCAAAATCTCGCCAAACGTGCGAGAACGTTCTCCGCGCAAATTATGTAACTGCAGATAAAGGGCAAAACCGTTAGCTCGTTTAAATAAACTGATTATGTAATTTATACCGAATTCATAGATCGGCATGGCGTCTCTGGACAAGTTTTTCAGTCCTTGCAAAGCAGCTTCATTTGTACTAAAACCACCGGTATACTGCTTCAAAAAACCACCAGAGAATAGATCCAACGACCGTTGGGTCGGATCGGGCAAAGCCACAAACCCGGTGAACGCTGTATGATATAAATAATTACCAAGGTCCTTCATTCTTGGTACCTCTGACACACCATCATACTTCGTATACCACTAGTATTTTGGAGGCACCTCGACACTAGCAGCGATATTACCACATTGTAACGTTTTTTTGCATTAGAGGCAAAAACAGCCACTGTAACATCCACTTAAACAATAAGTAGATGGAACTCGTTTTCTTGAAGAGGATCAGGGAAGATTAAAAATATTAAGATGGTGATCGATCGATCTCCTTGAATGTTTATTTTTTTGTAAAAATCCTCCTTGCATTAATATCGTTTGACTAACGATCAAGACGTGGCTAAATTGTACCAGAGGCAGGTTTATTATTTTGAGTGTGATCGCAACCACGACTAGACTGGCATAAAAACGAATTTCACAGTCATATAAATTGTTGTTACATACCTACTTGAGTATATTCTTCCGTCCTTATTAATGGTATTCTTTTGATTCACACATATTTTCGTTGTAATGAGAAACAAGATTGAACATAAATAAGTATTGCGGGAGGATGTAGTTTCTTACTTCAGTTATTTTTCTTCTTATCGTAATACATCCAACTTTCAATAAGTTCTATTTATCTTGTCTATAGCGTCTATATACGGACTTCCCATAGCAAACGTAACTAATTTTTTCGTGTATAGACTAGTTAGTTATTCAATGAAGTAATGTTGTACTATCTGCGTTTCGACTCCAAAAAGACTATTAGAGAACTATTTACGCCCAATTACAAACTGCCTGGCAATAGCCGGCGTGTTACTTATAAAGTAGTAAGTGAGAAACCAATTTTTGCACACCTGCTATGACATTATGCCTACTAAAATGTCAAATAGTTCATATTTTAACTTGAAGCTTTTCAGGAATTATAAAGTTTTATCTGTAACCGTAGGACAATGTTAGACAATATACGAAAACTTGCTTTAGTTGTAACATACTTATAATATAGATACATTTTGTAATACCCATTTTTAAGACAAAGTCCGCTTATTATTGAAGCGTTATTTTAAATGGTGATAATAATCAGGAATTACTACGACCTATTTGTGATATATGGATTAGTTTGCAAACTCCGGTTTTAGACATCCTGTCAACTGTATCGTAATGACGTTTCAGGACATTGAAGTTGCAAGGACAAAATTGTTCTTGCTTGGATCCAATTTCGTACCAAACGTTTCTCTGACATACAGTGACAACAACTAATGCTGAAAATGTTGTACCTCGCATTGACCTGCAGACTCAAAGAAAATAAGAAAGACTTAACTTGCTTATGATAGTCTACTCAGCGTATTTCAACTGAATAGCAAAATTGTGATTATATTAATTCTTAAACAACGACCAGTAGTTGTGGGGGATTCAGTCAAGACATGCGAATGGGATCTGCATGGTACAGATTCCTCTATACTTCCTTCACTATTTCCCAAAAAAGAGTCTAGTGCTTTAATTCAGACAGCGATTTCTTATCGGCCAATCGGAATTGGCTGATCTTTAAATATCGTTCTGGACTAGAAACAAAACACGAAAATTTTCCCGTCCTCTTTTTTTCCCTTTTCTCCCTAAAGTTTTTGCAATGAACAATAACAGTGAAATCTACTTTTCTGAAAATCAATTTGACATTAGTAAGGAGTTGTTCTGTAACGGCGAGTTTGGACATGGCCTGGATCAGTCAACTGTTCATGAGTTGCAACTATTGGATATTTCCATAGTTAATACTCTTGAGCAGTTGGCTGGTACAGCCATGCCTGCTCTGCCCGTTGCAGACAACTCCTGTACCGCAACATTGCCTACAGCAACAAAATCGTCTTCTGTAGCATCAGCAGATACAACAACAACAACGGTAGCAGTAGTTACCCGTAAAACGAACAAAAGAAAAGCATCTTGTTCTGTTTCCTCGGAAACCAAACAGAAAAAAAAACAAAAAAAAGAATTTGCTTGTCCTTTTTGCGACTTCTCGTGTAATCGCAAATACAATTTGCAAACCCATATGATATTACACAATCCTCATCGTGTAAAAAAACATCAATGTGCCGATTGTGATCGCGGTTTCGACCGAAAAGCAGATCTTAAGCGACATAATACCAATGTCCATAAAAAATAAAGCTTTTTTTATCTAGTCCTTGCTCACTATTTATTCATGTTTCTGTCTTTCTCACTTTTTATTAATTTTTGGGTTAAAACAAACATAAACAATAAAATAAGAAAAAGAGCATCAGCTACGATTTGTTTTATATTTCATCTACTCCAGGGAGAAATTCGTATCAAGGACATGTTTTCTGTAGATCGTAGCACTGGGGTTTTAAAAAAAAACCTGTATAACCTATGATTCAGGTTGTAAAATATCGCAGTATAAGGATGTAACAAAACTTGAGTCGTCGTCCATCATACCGACCAGTTATGTGAATAACATCTGTTAGAAGCTATAAACAAAAAGAATTGATATTAGAGCATCCCCAGCGGTTGATTAAATTTTTCATTAAATATAATCATTTTTTTTGTGACCAAATTTGCTAAATTGAGATTTCTCCAGCTGTTGAGTAAAAAAAAATTAAAACTCGGTGCCTGTCATTTTCTCCTGAAAAACTTTTGTTACTTTTTTTATAAAACTTTAACTGTCCTAATGTCAGACTACTATTTAACATCAAGTGATGAGGATGAAGAAGAACCTTACATGCATAATCTTACAGTGAAGACTTTGAAAATTTTGAAAGCAGAGTTACCCAAAAAAAAAAGAGACGTCTTGTCAAAAAACGTAATATTATTTGGAGAAAACGGGACGAAGGTCATCAATCCCTTATGAGAGACTACTTCTCGGAGACGCCTATCTATTCAGACAAAATGTTTCGTAGAAGATACAGAATGAGACGAAGTCTATTTCTACGAATTGCCAAGGAAGTGGAGGCTCACGACGACTACTTCGAGCAAAAGGTCAACGCAGCCAACTGCTTGGGGTTATCGCCTCTCCAAAAGATGACCGCAGCCATGCGTCAGTTAGCTTATGGTCTCGGATCCGACGCAATCGATGAATATCTTCGTATGGGCGAATCAACTGCAATGGAAAGTCTCAAAAGATTCTGTTACGCCATTGTGGATGTTTTTGGGAAAGAGTACATGCGAACCCCCACACAAGAGGACGTCGACCGCCTTTTGGACGTTGGAGAGAAGAGAGGTTTCCCGGGCATGCTTGGATCTATAGATTGTATGCACTGGGATTGGAAGAACTGTCCAACGGCATTCCATGGACAGTTCACCGGGAAAAGCGGCAGACCAACTGTGATTTTGGAAGCAGTAGCTTCCCAGGACCTATGGATCTGGCATTCCTTTTTTGGTACTCCTGGTGCTCTCAATGACATTAACGTCATCCACCGCTCCCCCATTTTTTCAACTTTGGCTAAAGGTGATATGCCTGGAGTTACCTTTACGGTCAATGGTAATAGCTATGACAAGGGCTATTATTTGGCAGATGGGATTTATCCAAAGTATGCCACTTTAGTCAAGACCTTACCTAACCCCCAGTCTCAAAAAAGAAAGGTAATTCGTAAAATCGTGTGAGATGTATTGATGCCAATGTGTTATATAATAGAACTTTGCAAAGGCTCAAGAGGCTGCGAGAAAGGATATTGAACGTGCTTTTGGTGTCTTGCAAGCACGCTTTGCTATGGTACAAAGACCTTGCCGGCTCTTTAAGCAAGACGATCTGCATGCAGTCATGACGGCATGCATCATATTACATAATATGATTATTGAGGATGAGCGTGAACTAGATCTTGATCTTGTTTACGAACCCCATTCTGCTCCTCCTCAATCATCTCGTTGTACTATTTCCTTTGGTGAGTTTGTTGCTAACTTTTTCAGTGTTAGAAATGCTGATATGCACGATCAGCTTCAATCTGATTTAATTGATCACTTATGGGATAGACGAGGCGACATGTAGATATCTACAGAATTCTAAATAAAATAGTTTTTTAAAGAGAAAAAGAAGTTTTTATTTATCTCAATTGTTTATCATCCTCAACCAAAAGAGGCTCGCCGTCTTCCACCAAAACAGGTTCCTTATCCTCAACCAAAAGAGGCCCTTCTTTGCCCAAAGATTGTTGATCATCATCATCGGTGATCAAAGATGGTTGATCAGGATCATACAAAGAATTGTCATTCTCTTCCACATTCTTTGCCAAGGAGCGTTTACGGGCCTCCTCTTCCTCCGCCTCCTCCTCCGCCATGATACGATCCATGATGATACGTTGTTTATTCTCAACGTATCTTCTGTATCTTCCATAACTGATGACAGTGGTATCCGTCATCAAGATATCTTTCTCAATCTTACGTTTTTCTTGAGACTTGGCGTAAAGCAATTTCTCCTTGGCAAATGCCATCTTCTCCTTGGTTATCTCGATGTAGGCATTGTAAGATGATGCCAATTCCTTGACTTCTTCCTTGTTGTTTTGCTCTTCGAGCTTCGCCTTCTTACGTCCCATAGGACGTACCTCGTCCGAAGTATCCTCAGCTGAAAGGCTCAATGCCGCTTTCTTTCCCTTGCCTTTGGCTCTTACTTCAGCGATCTCAAGTCTGCTTTTCCATTTTTCACAACTTTCAAGAATCTTGTACAAATGCAAGAATTGGAAACCTTTCTTTTCACTTGGGTCGGCTCTATACATCTCCATGGCTCTATGTATCTTTTATTTCCATAAATATTATGTAAGTTTTTATGTGTTTTAAACGATTTTGAGTATTAATGTATACCATGTCCTCGGGACCTGAGCCACTGGGAGAGGGACCGTTCATACAAGTTTGGAAAAAACCACTAAACTTGCTAACGGACTTCGCAATGGCCGTGAACCGAACCCGGTGAGACGACCAACACCTTTCCCTGGGAGGCGTTTTATACCTCTTGACATAGTTAATGTCGAAGTCATCGGCAATGTTTTGCCAAAAGTCAGGGCCAGTTTGGTCATTACCCTTAATAGGATCGTTACTCATTGAGGACCACGAATGGCACAACTGAACGTCCTCTTCCTCGGTGTAATTAAACCCACGAGTACGCTTGTCAGCTTTAGGGTCTTGTTGCGTTTTAGTCATTGTTTATTCGAAAAATATCAAGAAAGAAAAAAAAAATCGAGAAGTTAAAATTTTTTAAAAAAAATGTGTAATTTCGTAGATCTGTGCAATTTGAGATAAAAAATAAAGTTTATGTAAATTTACTTCAAATTTTAATCAACCGCTGGGGAATCATTTTTTAAATTTTTTTTTTAGATTTACGAAAAGCGCCAATTTAATCAACTGCTGGGGATGCTCTTAGCAGTTACGCATTAAATAGTATCCGTGATAAAAAGGAAAGTCGTGACCAGCATATTCTGTAATTAATTGGCCAAATAATTTAAGTTTCCCATAAGACTAACTTGTCGCTTCGTTATCCCTACAATTGGTACAAAAAATGTAATAGTAGCATTCAAGAAAGTCACATTGTAAATAATAGCCTTCATTGCCACGTCCTAATTAACTGTAGGAGTCGTGGCAATTGTCCTTTCTTAAATGGTGAAAAAAATGAAGATCATCTCTACAAAGCATAATAACTAAATTAATAGATACAAACAATAGAACTACATGAGTTCCGCTCATTCTCTTTTGATTTAACAATCACAATGGCCGATTACGACATTATTGCAAGAACTCAAATGAAAGCAGAGTAATTACGAGATAAACTTAGGGCCTAAAATGCGAAGAGTAACTCGAGTTTGTTATAAGGCGCACATCCTTTAATTATGTAATATTCTCAAAGACAACATCAAAAATGACTATGTAGACTGGCCGTTTTTGGCAGATTCAGACATCCCTTTAAGATCTGCTAATGAAATGTTCAGCGAGACCTAATGTGAGCCAGAAACATGCATATGTAGTTCATGTTAATACAACATTGCGAACCATAGTTGTAACCCTTCTAATTGAGCCAGAGAAAATAAGATAAACCAAACATGTTGTTTAGACAATGTTTTATAATACCATTCTTCCTTTTTGCAAAGGTGACAAGGTACGAACATACATTTTCAAAAAATACTGAGAATCTTATAAAAAACATTTTGTCAAGTAGGAAAACATTCATTTTTTCAATTTGAGGGGAGTCATATTGTGCGATTAAAAAAGCATTATGATGATACGAGTTTCAACGTGAATAAGAAGAAATATATGTGGAACGTATTTCATGATTTGATGATCATAGAAAAGATATTTGACTTCATAGTCCTCTGTCGGGTAAAGGGCCATCGATCCGAAAAAAGATATTTGATTTATTTGCAATGAGTTATGCCGGTGTAAAAAACGCTTCCCGTCTGTGGATAGTATAATTGAGGTAGATTTTGATTCAAAGAAATACAGAGAAGAAACATTTCCGAATGCCTTGCTTACTAATATTTAGACTGCATAAAAATTCGAAAATCACGCAAAACAGGGATATTTATTAAGACGCTTGACATTATACATATAGACAGGAGAGTCCTGAAAACAGCCCAAAATCACAGATGCCCATTTACTACCGTTACATTAGCACTGTCAGAGTTTTAAAACATCTCGTTCTGCTACCGATCCATTGTTAAAGAACATATGTATCGAATATTACACTCCGTGTATTTTGTACCGAACCCACATACAAACGTATGATTTTACCATTGGTGACTAGGGAAAATATTAGGTCAGATAATCGAAGACCAAACAAGTGTAGTAGCATATTAGACATCTGAAGATATAAAAAGTAAAAAAAAAAATTCGTCGAACGACAAGCCAAACAAACTAGCATTAATGACAGAAACAATAAATGATAAAACGTGTGACTTGAATGAATAAATGACAAACAAACGTTTATTTTCCATTACCGACTCAATTTAAAGGGCATTAAAATATTAGATTATAGCAGAATTCCCTCTTTCATTCCAAGCAATTAGATACTATCTTTCATGTCGTTCAAACTAGGTACGTTTTTCTGCTTTTAATAAACAAGCAAAAGAAAGGATATCCCTGACTTTCACCTCATTCTAATTATACTAATATTAACAATATTTGGTTTCCATAGCTTTTTTTCTGAGATCGTTTTCAAAAAAAAAAAAAAAAACACTGATTGCAACAAACGATAAAAAGATATTATAATACTAAGGAAGATGATAAATTGATACATGACAACAGTAATTGCTCAGTTTATAAATGGCCATTGTATCATGACTGGTACATCTTTAACATAACAAAGTTAAATGCAATTTGTATTATTTATTCCAGTTTATTGTGCAATCACTAAACATGCGCTTATTTCATATGCTCAAAACTACATTGACTAGCTTAACATCATTTAATCGTTACGATACCTATTTGGAACGACCTGTTTTTTGATGGATACTTATCCAAATGTTATATATATATCAGCGAAAAACCGATTTTGAAACGTTTTTTAAAGTGACGTAAAGGTAGTGGTAGCCGTGTGTCAATAACTTGTCATTTAAGCATTGTCTTTGGGGTAACAAATACGTTACCCTTTCTATTTAATAACTACCATAAAATCCCTTTTATGCAATGCAACGTCTGTGATATATCGGTAGATGAAATCGCCGAAATATCTTGTCTTGCAATAAGCAAAAAAAGGCAAACGTATTATCTCTACTTCTATTCTTTTCTCAACTTTTTAGTTCTATTGCTTTTTTTCCTTTCCTTTTTTACCTTTTTTCCTTTTCTCTTCGGTTCCATTTTTTTTTAATTTTCCATATTTCCTCTTTTTTTGTCGGTTTTCGGCAAAATGTCTTCGCTGTACCCTAACGAAATTTTGTACGTTATTGACTTTGCAATAAAAAAAAAAGAAAGACGCTGATCTACAGCTGCAGGTTTGAATTTCATCTTTGGCAGTCGAATTATATAATCTCCATTTATGGATTCTACATCTGTAGTAGCTCCTTATTAGTTGGCCATCACAGCCATGAATTTTATCACGACTGTAAAAACTCTCGTTGCCGCTGCAATCTTGGTTGAAATCCCAGTATTACCAGTCTCACCCTCATACAGAGCTTAAATAGCATGCAAGAAAAATGATACGGACATTCTTTCATTTAAAGCAACTTCAAAAAAGCGAAAGAGAAATTTCTTCTTCTGGTCGTGTTTAGAGCAGAAAAAATAACAGAAAAAAAAATTAAAAAGCATTACCCTGCCAGTTGGAAAAACGCCTTTTTTCTTCAAAAACTGATACGCTGTCGCATGCCTTGAATAACAATTCTGAAGTTGCGAAAACGTTCAAATGGGCGTTGGCCATATTGAAACAGATTTCTCACAGAATAATAATAATGTACACAAATAAACTAACTTTTGTGTGTCTTCTTTTTCTCGGTTACTACATATCCTGCTGTGCCGTTTCGTTGCTTTTCCTTTTTCCCACTATGCATTTTTATAACAGTTCTTTTTCTCTGTCATCATCGCAGCACGTAGATGCATTAATTTAGATAATTCTTTGTCAGCACCGGGTCATCTACGTGTTAGGCATCAATCATCAAATCTGTTATAAAAAAGTGATGACTTACTAAACGTTTTCAGTGCTTATTTTAAGCTAAATAAATATGCAATCATTTTACTGTAAATAAAGTAGAACGTTCCCTCTCCTTTCTTTCCCTTCAACATGTATATTATGTAATAACCCTCTATCATCTTTTATTTGTTCTCTCTCTCTCTCTCTCTCTCTCTCTCTCTCTTTTATAATAAATATAATATTTATCGTTTAACTCTTTGTCCTTGTAAGCAGACATTCTAGTATCTGTCCTGTCCGTCTGTCTACTCCTGACATTCTCTGTCAATCGTTGATCTGACGTTCAATTCTTTTGCCGCTCTTTTTTCCCGCCGTATCTTTTCGTCGTCGCTCTTTTCCCATGCGGTTCCCTTTCCTGAACATTACTTTTGAATGACATTTGGTTTTTTAAGCTGTTCATCTTATGTCTTTTCTTTTTTCGGTTTCCCTGTTTTTTCTATTAGGCTAAACCTGCCTACTACTAACCTTATTCGGTATGATTAAAAATTTAGTTTAAGAACTCTATCAACAAAAAGGTGCCCAGACCTATTTATTTTACGAACTGGCTTCAAAATGCGGATTTGAATTCCATTGTAAGACTTACAATTAGAGAATTTTCAATATTGTTGTTTCTTCTGCATCACTGCATTTTTTAAAGATACATAGTAACTTCATAGGATTCAATGAATGCAAAAAATATCATTTCTGTTTGGCTGTGAACTGGTTTTATAAAAGTTGTTTCTATTTTAGACATATTGGTAGTTCGAAAATATTGTGTTTTCAGAGAGTGTTTTTAATTTTTCGATGACGTTATACGCAAATGAATAGGTACCATCGTGATTGGTCAATTAAAAGTATCCGAAATGTCGTAGCAATTGGTGAATTACCGGGAACTTTAAAGGCATCAGACACGATGGTAATCTATAGTGATGGCCAAGGCAGTCATCGCTAATGTTTAATACTGTGTTCCGATTGGACCGTGACCAAAAATATAGTGAGCAAGATTCTACATTGATGGTTAATGAGTAAAACAAAAATATGCCCGCTTGATTCAATTATTGAGTATGTCCCTAAGACCAACTGAGTTTCTTACGAAAACCACCATAATATTTTCTTTCTTTTATAGACCAATAGGAATGGATTAATTTCATTTGCGCCTGACAGGCTAATAAAAGGCAGACTTCCAGCGAGGTTATTTTTGCCCTTTTTTTTTATTTATTTGGAACAATATGAATGAGTGGCATAAATGACATTGAACTTTTTCTATGTAATGTTCTGTTGTCGGAGGAACTGTTTCCGGGAGTCGCGTATGGCAAAGGGTTTAATGACTCAATTGGTCTTCCGCTTTCTCATTTGATTCCACCAACCGATGAGGCTCAGGAGCTGTTGCATTGTTCGACTTTGACTCCTTGGTCTCCTAGAGAGAACTTTGACAGCTGCTCATTACAGGAAGATGCATGTTTTAAGCATTTGGATTGAAGTTCCTCCCCCGCTCCGTTAACCATTTCTCTGGTAAAAGAAACCAAAACAGGACCATCACCCACTGAAATGACGGCCGCATTTCATTCAGTAGGGTCATCAGCTGCAGCAAAATTCAGATTTATCAACTGCTGAAAGCCTACTTCGTCTACAACAACCATTGAAAGAAAAAACATTTCTTCTTCCGGAACGGAGAAAAAATCAACGAAAGTTACAATTGCTGATCTTGTGAATGGGTGTTGGCACAAAAATATAACTTCAACACACATTTGCAAACCGATTTCTAATGTCGATTAATACCTTTCGCTTGCAATGATTTCGACATGTCTTCTAATCGCAAGTCACAACTGACAAGACTTATGAAAATAATCCATCAGCAATCAAAAAATCATTTCTGCAACTACTGCGCTGCTCCGTTCATCAAAGCTGAAAATCATAGAAAGCTCGTTAAAAAGAAGGATGCGAATAACTAATTGACTTTTTTTGTTCTCTTGTTGCCCCTTTTTTTTCTTTGTCGGTTCCCTGCTTTTTTCCACTACACTATATACCCCGTCCGTTTCTCCTTTTTTTAAAATTGTATTTATATCCTCATTGCATAATTAAAAGTCTATAAAAACACCGTACGGATTACGTTTATCCTTTTTTTTTTGTTAGAAATTCTTATAGAGCACATACGCTAAGAATTAGTCTGATTTTGGAAAAACTTAGTCACATGTTAATTTTCAATTTGTCGTTTTTTAAGCTTCCATTGGTCAATTTTTGTTTTTCATTTGGAAACTTTTCTGAAAATCACTCGGTCACTTTTCTGAACTTCAATTAATTCCTTTTTTGAACCTCAATTAGCGACTTATTACAATCCCTGAGTTTTTTTTATGGTTTAAATTATGGTTTCGTGCTCTGGCAGGGGTGAAAACAAATACTCAACAAGCTTAAACACTTCCATCCATGATAGGCAATTATTAAAAGTATTTGGAACAACCCCATGACGCACTTCCGTTTGGATGTAATCGCCAATGTTCTTCTTGTCTATTTTTGTGGTTGATAGAGTAATTATGGTGCATACACACTGCAGAGATAATGATAAAACTGTACAAAGATTCGAAAAAGAACCAGCAGCGCGACAGCGTACGAATACATTTAAAACATCAATGTATGAAGGCCAAGATTTGCCCGTATTCTCCTGACCGTAATCAATATTTTTCTTGGCGATATTTCTGTTCAATCTTTCCATGATGAGACGACTATATCCATTCATGTCGTAGCCTAGACCGTCGTGATACTTAGCAGTAGCACTTCGCTTCGATAAATTAGGATCGATTGTAAATTCAACGTGTTCTTTGACAGGAATTTCACACCATTGCTGACCAAGTAGTTACCTATGGTCATCGTAACAGTGAAGTAATGGGATAATTGTAACAATCCAACACGTACCTTCATACGTTAACCGGTAGTACGCATGACGTTGGCTTTCCCTACAAACATCGGTTAAAACAAACTTAATGACTTTCATCAAGATAGTGATGTGGGCTGTAATATCATCAGGCTGTGCGAACGAACAAGGGAAACGAGGCAATTTCGGCAATTCCACATCGAAGGCCTGATTTTGCATGTTATACGCGGTTTGATATTGTTTCAAAGACACCTTGATGGCTTGATCCACAATTTGCTGTCTTGCAAGTGGTTCTGCTCTGGCAATAAATCCTCATTGTAAAAATTGATTATGGTTGAAACAGGTGACAATGTCAGAAAATTTTCGCGTGAAATTTTGGGCCCTATGGTTGATGTAACGCTGTAGACGCATCCCGAAAGAAAAAGTCGACTTTTTTGTTCTAGTACAAATGCTAGCTACAGTCCTTTGCGTTTTGTGAAAAGACATATGCACCTTCAACCTTTTCAAATCAGAATCGAATTTTCACCAAGGCGACCAAGCACAATGCGAAACAGCATTTGGTGCGTTCTCATTCACAATGACTAATCCAATTAATGACTTTGAGTTGTTGCTGTCTGCCTCTTTAGGCGGCATTTACTTGTTCTGGATGGTTGAAATATGGCGACGTAAATTAAACAAACTATTGAATTATTTCAGACATACGTGACTGGCGTGTTTCGTATGGGGAAGCATCATGGTTCACAACAAGCGTTTTGAATTGTCACAAAAATCTCACAACAAAAAGAAACAATTGTCGACCTTATTCCTTTTTTCTTTTTTATTTCTAATCAAAATAATGCTCAAATACGATTTGAGTAAATTGGACATAAATCAAGGTCAATCGTTTTACAGATACACCTTCTATATTACATCCCCGCAACAGAATTCAAAACACACACACACAGAGTAAACTGTGGTGTCCCAGAGACATAACTCCTTTTCACAGTAGTCAGACTTCACACTATAAAATAATATTGTCATAATTTATGCATGAATGATGATGAGTTATTGTAGTGAACTAAGTCTCTATATGTCACATCATATATTATCAACCCATGTTACAATATTGTTTCTCCTGCTATAGCAAGCTATTTAAAAAGAGTAATTTGTCTATCTTTTAATAAAGTAATCAATTCACAGTCTGGTCCTTTTACAAAGTTAAAAATTTGATTTTTTAATTAACTTTTTGATGCGAAATAATCACGGATTCTTCACAAACAATTTTTTTTGGAACGGTCAAAAGTGTAGCCGATAAATAAATAGAGATTATTGAACTATCAATTTTTTTGCTCCCCCAAACCCTCCATCACCCATTCCTGTAGGTGAATGTTTTGATCCGGCTTTGTGTACAAAAAAATCTACAAAAACACCTTTGGGTGTGTACCACCCGTAATTATGGCGGACACATAGATGACAAGGTGCTGACAAAGAATTGGATGATTGACTGCATGAACGCTTTTTTTAAGTTCCAGCAATAAATCAGCAGCTAATTATGAATCTATTTTCGTAGTATGCGTTGACCATGGTTGGGCATACCCGACATGTCTCCAAAATAGCACTATTTAATCCTCCCTTAATGCATTTCTAGATTATTTGGTCGCTTATATCAGTTACCCTGGGCGTCCTAAATCGCGGTTTATATAAATGTTTTGGGTTGTTCGTAGCGATTACGGTTATATAAACAGCATTGTTATGTACAGAACACTACGTGCTTTAAAGTTCCAAATAAACAGTTCCTTGTCAAATACATGCTTTGTCAATACTTCACTAACATCTGATGTACGTCCTTTTCTCTTTTGGCTGTCTTTCTTTTCAGTGTATTTGTTTCATCACATTCATGAGTAATTAGAAAACTGCTAACGCAAAGCCTCTAAAAGGTCGACTTTTATCCAGGCTTATTTCTAAATATTCGGTTTATCGAACAATACGAATCTTTGTAGCATTGCGTTAGAAATTGCAGAGATTAACAATATTCAATATACAGACATACATATTACAAGGACGACTACAACACAATTAACAAAAGACAATTCCCATGTTATATTCTAAATCGACCATTGTTTTCTCTCCTCTTAAAATGACATTGCAACATTTCACATTAATAAAACAGATTTGCTCGTTAAATATGCGAATGCTCATTCCACAGCCCGGCTCAGCAAAAAAAACTTGGTTTAGCATTAACAGGGTCTTTAAATTGAATCCCTTAAATTCTACTTAAATCCTCAAAAAATCACAAGCACATACGCCTCGGAGGAAACATAGATATGACGTAACAAAATATTTCTTATCGGCCAATAGAAACAGATTAATTTTATTTTAACGTGATAGGCAGTATATTCTCTAATATATTTGTTTACCCGCGGGGGCTTTTTTTTTTCTTTTTTCTTCAGGAATATTCAAAATGAGCATTAACGACATTAACGTTTTTCCTTGCAATGCGGAATTGGTGGATGAGTTGTTTCCAGGAGTCGAGTACGGCAAAGGGTTGAATACTTCAATAGGTCTCGCGCCTTCTCGTATGGAACTTCCATCCGAGGAGGTGCAGGATCTATTGGAATATTCTTCCCTTCCTGCTTGGTCTCCTGGAGACCTCTCTGAAACCAGTTCAATGCGCGATGAATCAATTTTTGATTTTTTTAACCCCTCTTTGTCACCTGTGCCAGAGTCAAACTCCTTGGCAATTAACAACATTGACGATACTGCAAAAAACATCCCGGAAGAATCCGAAGAGCCGGCAGCAACATCAACCTCCATCGGAAACAAAAGAAGAGCGATTTCGTCTTTGGGTACACCGGAAAACAAAAAGCAAAAAACAGCAACTGGTTTCGAATGCCCTGTTTGTCAGCATGTGTTATCCAAAAAATACAATTTGGATACACACTTAAAGACACATGACACAAACAGAGGCAAAGACCATCATTGCACAGATTGTAATATGTCTTTCAACCGCAGCGCACACTTAAAAAGACATAAACAAACAGTGCATGAACAATTAAAGGAACATAGCTGCAATCAATGCCAGTCAAAGTACACACGGGTAGACAACCTAAGAAAACACATTGCAAAAAAGCACATGAATAATTAGTTTTTTTATTTCCCCCTCTCCCGCTCTCACACAAGCCATTTAATAAAAAGCCTTTTTTATAGTACTTTTTTACAAACTCAAGCGTCTGATTTTCTTCTTTTATTTTAGTATCAATATAAAAAAATTTATTAAGAATACCATGATCACAATATTTTCAGCACAGATATTAATGCAAACTACAATGAAAGTCACCGGCCCGTATATATATGGTAGTAGAGGTCTGTCATTCGATTATTAACCAGATCTTAAGTTTTTAAATATTCTCCTTTTTTTTTTTGCAAAACTACAACGTCTGATTTGCGATATTGCTAGTATTATTCATTCTACTTTTTAGCGTTGTACTAAAAGGCGATGATGTAATCCTTACGCAATTTTGGTCGGTTTTCTGTCGACTCTGACATTGATTATACGAAAGAATTTGGAAATATCCCTTCACGGTATAAATCACATCCTCCATAGTGACCCACGGTAAAATAAAGTACACAAACCAAATAAGGCCACCAGTGCAACACTTAAATGTCCGTTTGTTTAGGAACCACAACTTGTTATAGCACAACGCTTAACAACTTCTCCAATTTGATCGTCGGATTATTCAAAGTATATACCCATAATAAAATCTTAATGGAATATATTGACGTTATGCCCATTTTGATAAAGATGTTATTTTACATCATATATCTATTTGCAGACATGCTATTACCAAAACGACCAATTCATTGTAACGGTTGACTACCAATTCGCTACTGTTGACCAGCAAGTAATCCGGGATGTTTTGAGAAAATAGAAGTTGATCAAAACAGAAGAAAAAAGAATTAAAGAAATGACTCTCTGTTAATCCTTTAGTACAGTTATGGAGATAAGGTCATCGCAAAAGGGAGGACGCTTTTTATATCAAAACAACTAGGGGATTGAATCTGGTAAAGAATATATAGTGGCTTATTTCTATCTTCTGAAACATGTCAATTAGATTTATACGGTTTCACGTCAATCAATACTTTATCATATTGATTGGTCCGAATTATGAAGTGGAAATTTCTCATTTACTGATAGTTTAGTAACAGATTAAAGTCAGTCATAACAACCAATGATAACATAATTCCCAATATATAATCTGTAACGAGATTGTACGGGTAATATGAGAGTAACACTCGAATATTTTAATTTAACCATATTGAAGGTCATTCTATACGATCTTTATTGGAGAAAATACGACATAATCTATCCAGAACTCAGTTATAATTCGTATAAGCTTATCGGATTAAACTTCTGCATAGTAGTAGGATTTACATATCCTGTAGTATCTTCTCCGAAACATTAAATATTCCACCTAATCGATTCCTTTACCATACGTCCGAAATTAAATTACAAAAATATAAAATAAGCAATAAGTGAAATCACAAATCTGTTGGTGCCTCAAATTGTATACTGCACATGCAAAATTGGTAACATTCTTTTTCACTCAATTGGATAAATGTCGGTATTCAATTGGACTAGTCACAAACTAATAAGACACTATTGCAACATGTTTGCAATTGTGAGCACAACATCTCTTCTTCAGTTGGAAAAAAAAAGCAGACAGCGGTATTCTTTATGCAGTTATTATTTAGGTAATGACTTGGACCGGAAACGAGGAAAATTGAGTTTTTAATATATTCATTTACCAAGCCAAGGGATTGGTTCATTTTTTAATTCTGCAAATCATCGCATTTGTTGTCTACCAATTCAGATTTAATTTCATAATTTTCAGTCTTTGACTACCAAACCAAAGTTTTCTGTCCTCACTTTCCTTAGACAATATGAACCTCGAGCTACAATAGATTATACATAATTGCGAAAGCAACTAAAAGCTTGCCAATTGAGTTTCTCAGGGACACGTACAGACGTCAAGTACTATCCGCATAATTCTGGAATTATTGCTATCGACGATTCTCTCATTGCAAGTTCTAAAACATTTCATAGGACCCCGCATACTTTTTTGCTACGAGGCATTGGGCAACTGTGTTGTCCGACGCTGTAACGGCAGCAGTAACAGCAACATTGAAATACATAACTATGATGGTATATGTAGCAACGGTGATATTTGCAAAAACAGTGAGCATTGCCACTTCTTCGGCTGCTTTAGAGACTTGCGAATACGAAGGGCTAAAAATAAGTTTACTTGCTCAACCAGTGATTACAAATGTACTAAGAGATACAAAATGTAGAGCAATGTTAAGACAACGTTCCCAAAACTGAAAAAAATATCAAATAACATTTATTTATGCTGTTCTTCTTAGAAACCTTGGGTTGCAACCCTACAACAATAATGCGGTTTCGAAACACAAGCTCTTTCTGTTTTGGTTCTGTTCTTATCATTTGATATCCCGACTATTATTGTACGCTTTTTAGGTCATCATAAAAAAAATGTATTGAAATTCAATTAAATATCAGATCCTGGCCTGTTAATCTTCTTACGATCATTAATCATATCAGGTCATACGTTGTTTTAGATCACGTTTAGTATGCAATTGATTGTTGAGTATTTACGGTTTTGTCTGATGGATTGAAATAAATAATTGATGGAAACTGCTCAATGGAATTCTAAATCCCATAAACCCATGAATAGATACTTGGTGGAAAATGAACAACAAAAATAGAGACTCTCGAGAGCAGTTAAAAGATTATTGGATTAGTTTTTACGATATGACTGCCAATCCATTTACAACTAGTCTAGTAACCTCTGTTACAAATAATAGCTTGTGATTAAATACCTTTATCTACTGATATTGCGTTAGCATGTCGAACCACAAGAAAAAAATGATATGCAATTAACCGCCTTCCAACGGTCTTTTCTTTACGCTTAATCCCCTGTGTGACCATATCAAAAAAATATTTAAAGGCTGTCAAATTGCATTGACTAAGGCGACGTAATACAATCTTCATCCAGTTTTACTTTTTTGTAACCTACTGTTCACTGCAAAAAAAAAGAACTGAAAGGATTCATTAAATAGTTTGCCTAGTCGTAATTCTGCCAGCCAAGCCGTTTATGAGGAGAGGAAGACACAATTTGTATGGCGATACGCACTAAAATTATACAGTAGTGCTAAAAACTGTCTCACAAAACTTACATCGACGATAAAATCCGCAATAATTACAGTATTCAAAAAATTAAAAATGCTCATAGAAGAGGGATGTTAATGACACGTTACACAGTAGTTAGACGTTTTTTGCCGGTGTTACATGCACTACAAACATAGAAAACGTCTTTTTCACATGAAATTGTTTCTGTTTATGGCGTTTTACGGACACTTTTTTCGACTTCCAAATAAGGGCTTTGCCCCAAACTTTTTTTGTCATCCAATTGGGACTTCGATAACCATACACTATAAAAATCCCATCTAAAAAACGTGTTTTTCCCACAACAATGTTCTACTGTTATTTTCGTATTATTTCTACTTGCAATGCCTAAAAAACTTAGCCAAGACACCCGAAACAACGTGAAGTCCCTTATTGCTAGTGGAAAAACAACTAAGCAAATAGTAGAAACAACAGGAGTATCCCGAGCTCAAGTTATTCGAATGAAAAATGTGAATGATCCTGATCGCGAGCAATGTAATGGTGGCCGACCAAGTCTGATTCCTAAGAGAACTACACAAGTAGTTAGTTTTAAAGTTCGAAGGGGTTATCTAGCTACAGCTAAGGATGTTCAGAAGTATTTGCAAGAGATTGGTTACAATTACGGCTATTCTTCGACCACTTACTTAATGAGATCTCTTGATCTTAAATCATCATTCAAGAAAAAAAAACCACTCATTAGCAATGTCAATAGAAAAAAAAGATTTCTTTGTGCTAAAAAACATAAAGACTGGACCGTAGATGACTGGAAAAAAGTTATTTACTCGGACGAGACAAAAGTAAACAGATGGGGATCTGATGGAGCTCAAATTACTTGGAAACATAAAGATGACTCATTGCAGCCTCATAATATTCTAACAAGATTGAAAGGTGCTGGCGGCTCTATAATGGTCTGGGGATGTATGATATCACTTGGAGTAGGCTACGCATGCCGCATAGTGGAGTACCCAATGAATTCCGAGTTGTATACTCACATTCTGGGCACAACATACAAGGACACACTTGATTATTACGGATTAAGCGGTACGGATGTGATTTTCCAACAAGACGGAGATCCCAAGCACACCTCCAAATTTACAAAGCAATGGTTGGAAACAAATAAAATCAACTATATTCGAGACTGGCTACCCAATAGTCCCGACTTGAACCCCATCGAACACCTTTGGCACCACATAAAAGTTAAGTTAGACAGCTATTCGACTAAGCCAAGGAATATAGATGAATTGTGGGACCGCTTCGAAAAGGAATGGAATGGTTTCACTTTGGAGGATATGCAGAGGTATTACGAAAGTATTCCCAAAAGAATTGAGGCAGTTATTAAAGCAAAAGGTGGTTATACAAAATATTAAAATAAACATCGTCCCTCTTCTTTTGACCTAAAAGTAACATTTTTGTGATTGTTTACATGTTGCCTTAAATAGCATAGCTCCAATTACCAAAATAAATAATTAACTGTCATTAACAACTCCTCTTTAAAATTTGGAGCCCGTATCATTGTTTTTCGCCATATGATATTAATTTTAGTTTTTGTGAGACAGTTTTTAGCACTACTGTAAACGTTACAAAAATATCAAAAGCGGGGCTTTCCTTCGCTATGATAAATAGGTTTCAAACAATGTCTCTTTAATAATAAACGCGTCACACTTAGAGGCCGGCGTACGATGTCATAAAAAAACAAGAAAATGACTCATACAAAATAAACATTGAAGGAATCAAGTCATGCAAAAGACATTGCGGTTGGCATTTATGGCAATCGACGACAAATTACATTTTAAATTGAATGGCGATCCGGACAATGCCCAATTCTTCTCCGAGCATGACATGACACCATTCTCCAATAAACAGTTAACATGTTCTGATGGGTTGTCGCGATTACTTCTTTCATGCCTATTATGCCCAATTTTACTTAACTTTAACACTGACATAAAAAACCAAGAATGCTTTTATAACTTTTGAGTCATATGGCAGTATGAATACTACAATCGATTATGATGTAAACACCAAAAGAACTTGAAACTTAGTTTCTCTTATCAACCAATAGGAATGTATTTAATTTTTTCTTAATACTGATAGGTAATAAAAACAAAAATTAGTAGAGAAGCGTGCTTCTTTTTGCTTTTTCTTTTTTTTGCCAACCAACATTAAGAATGAGCTGCATGAACGACATTGACCTTTTTCCCTGTAATGTTGCCTTGTCGGAGGAACTATTTCCAGGAGTGGAGTATGGCAAAGGGCTGAATGACTCGATAGGTATTGCGCTTTCTCGTTTGGATCCTCCATCCGAGGAGGCTCAAGACCTATTGGATTGTTCAACTCTGCCTGCTTGTTCTCCTGGAGACCCCTATGACAGTAGCTCATTACAGGAAGATTCAATTTTTGAATTCTTTAACACCACTACGGACGTCTTCCAATAAAAAAATTGTTGATAGAAGCGGAAGAAACAGGACCATCACAACAACAAAATTCTATGGTATTCGAATCAGTTGCATCAGCCACTGCAGAAACTTCAATAACAGAAACTACCGAGCCTGCCACAACCACAGGAGCAGCGATAAAAAGAAAACCACTTTCCGCTTCCGGCACAAAAGAGACAAAAAAGCAAAAAAGAAGCGAAGTATATGAATGTCCCATTTGTAAATGGGTATTCAAAAAAAAATTCAACTTGGATACGCATGTAAAAACACATGATAGAATCCGTATGGGAAACTTTAGTTGTCCAGATTGCACAAAGTCTTTTGCTCGAAAGCTACATCTAACCAGACACATCAAAACAGTGCACCAGAAAATAAAAGAACATGTCTGCGGTTTTTGCGGCACTCAATATACCCGAGCAGACAATCTCAAAAAGCATGTCGAAAAAAAGCATCCGAACAATTAGTTTTTTCTGTTTTTCCCCGTTTCCTTCGTTTCCTCCGTTTTTTTTTTGCTCCCCTTTTGTCCGCCTCCCCTTCTTCACTACATTCACCATAGTCTCCACCTATTGTCATTAGTATATATAGCCTCTTTGCAAACATCAAAATTTGAAAAACTTACGTATCAGCTGCTTTAATGATATTGGTGGTCGTATATTCTAGCACCTATAAGTATTTCGCAATAGTTTTATCAATTTGATAAATTTTCTACTTGTTGAAATGATTTCCCGTCTACTCAAATCAGGTAGCTTTTACACTAATTAATTAATAATCTGTAAAAATGAACTACTGTACATTCACATCCTAAAAGAAAATAAAACAAGTGTCTTCCTCGGAAACACTATCCAACAAAAAGCCGAAAACCAGTGTGGGTCAAAAATACGCAAACTGCCAACATGTTTTCTCTAAGAAATTTAATTTAGATAAACATTTGAGAACAACCAACACAAACAGAATCAAATATCACCAGTGTTCACATTGCAATATATCTTTCGATCGCAGGACGCATTTAAAAAGACTTAACGAGATTGTACATCCACAGCTAAAAGCACACAATTGCACTCATTGCGAATCAAAGTATATTCGGGCAGAAATTTTTAAAAAGCATGCTGATAATTAGTTCTTATATTTTTCTGTCTTCCCTATACCCTTTCGTTTTCTCTTTTAAATATTTTTTTATAAACGAATTTTTTAGAAAGGTTAAAACATAGTCATTATGTCCTGTCCTAAAAACGTAGTAGGGAGACCAAAATTAAAATAAGAGGGAAGTCGGTCGTTAAAGTGATACCAGATGATTGGTTGATAGTTTATAGAGATAGGAAATTGTAGTTAAGTTCCTTCGTAGCTAAACTTATTAACGAGACTTTTTGATGAAAATAAAGATAATGTTTTATTGTATTTTTGTGTAGGTTTTTTATATGAATTGAATATTATACTATATTAGTTTCTAACTAATGTCAACGCTAAGTTATACTAATTTGGCGTCGGCTTCTCTGATCTGTCTAATTTAGTATGTGTTAAGTTATAATACCGATTAATCAAGTGATGACATCTAGGCTCACGACAAAATATTACTACGTAGACAATCACAACCCTATTAGTCGTTATAAATTTCACTGTCTTCACCCTATAAATTAAACAATCCTGAAAACGTTTTATTAATTCATCAAAAGTATCTATTTTTCCTAGTAGCATAGATAGCAGTAGTCCTATGTTCGATTTTTTCGTTGCTCGACGTATACTTTCTACACAGTTTAAATTACACATCAATCAGTTATAGGAGTTGTTCAAATTTTATGGCTATCAAAACATAATGGTAGAAGGAAGAGTCAAAAAAGAAACCCGTAGCATATGTTCATTTTTAAATAATCTCCCAATTCGACCATGGTATGTATGACATGAGGTTACTGTCAGCATATTTAAAAAATGTATAGTTTTAGGCGAGCTGAAGGACAAGATCATGTAACTACTAGGTAATTTCACAATGGAGAACGTGTTGTCAGCGACATACTTCCGCGCTGTAGCAGCATTAGAGACTATGATCGCAACATAATTATTCAACGGAGGGTGATATTTTCGTGTCGCCAGTTGGATCATAATTCGTAATTAATGAGTATATAAGGGATTCATACAAGAACTTCCGCGTGTTTAAAAAAACTACTAATTTCGACATTAGACTATTTTGTTTTTATAAAAAAATAACGGTAAAATCCAATTATGAAAACATTTACGTAAAAAAACAAGAGCAATGTTAAAGTCAACTATTTTACCTAATGACTAGTTTTTATTTATTTCAATGTTGAAAAAGTTAAAAAAAAATAGCATCACCATCTAGTGAATTAAAACTTCGCTTTACGAAGTAGATTAGGAATGACAAAGATAGAAATGACGTCGGAACAAAATTCGTTTATGGAATGTATTTTCTGAAACTTTTTAGATAATTACAGACCTTCTACTATAGTTGAGTACGCCAGTCGAATGAACTTCTCTTCCGCCATTGGTCCATTTTTCTTTAAATTATAAAAACTAACATGCCCAAGAGAAGCGTAACCGTGGGTTAATATTTCTCAAAAATTTCTGTTCTTCAAATTACCACCATCTTTGAATTTAATAGTAATATTCCTAAGATTATGTCAATAACTTTCGCATTCTCTTTCCCAATGGCCACCGAAATCATTAAAATAGAAATAAAAGAGTCAAAATTGAGATAAAATAAAAAGTTTATTTTTTGAGCAGACGCTCACGAACGGATAAGGGCTTTTTACCCTCGTTCTCCTGGATCAAGAGTTCTTCCTCTATGAACATACAAAAAATTAGTCAAAACAGAATTAAAAGATATCGATACTAGTATACGTACCTTCCTCCTCCAAGGTGTCGAAAAAGTCCTTCAACTCTCGACGATCCCGTACCCGGTTGACTCGTGCAACACTAGGTTGACGAGTCATGCGGGAGAGGCTCGCGAGAGAAGAAGGACCAGCTTTCGGTTCACCTTGGGGTTCGGAATCGGGATCATTACCCATACCAGAAGAACGACGGGCAGATTTTCTTCTGGCTCCCGCCATTTGAAATCCCAAAGAAGAAGAACCTCTCAACACAGCAGCACCAGACGTCTTCCTTCTCTTATCATCGGTTTCAAGGTCCGAAGAACCGAAACCCACCTCAGACAACTTCCTTTTCCCGAGGTTTTGGGAAGCCCCCAGAGAAACCAACAAGCCAGAACTACCTCCAGAACAACCAGAAAATCCAAAGTCTGCCCCGACAGGCACGACAGAATCAAACTCGGCGTAATGTGGCTCGTCCGCCGCCCAAAAAAAAGAGGAGTCAGACCAGAAGCCACACAAACCATCTCGAGCAGCAACAGGATCACGCGAACAACCCAAAGCAGAGACAGGTTCAACCTCGTCAAAATCCATATCATCTGCCAAAGAAGGCTCGACAGGAGGCGGAGACAAAGACAAGGAACCAGACAACAAAGCGCCACCAGCAGCAAATGGCGCAAGGGCCCGAGCAACAGCAGCGGAAGGAGAAACGTCATTGTCTTGTTCCAAGAGAGGAAACAAGAAAGAACACGACGAAAAGGTCAAAGACCAGAAAGAGCCAACTCCAGACACAACAGGATCAATTTCCATATTGTCACCTCCCAAAGAAGAACAAGAGAGAGACGAAGGCGAAACAGGAACAACGAAAGCAACGTCAGAAACAGGCACAAAAGGAGCAACAGGAGCAACCGCACTACCTACAGCAGAGACATGGTTGACCTCCTCAAGATCAATTTCACCTGTCAAAGCAAGCTCCGTTGCACAAGGAGACAAAGGAACAGAACGGGACAACAAAGAGTCACCAGCAGCAAAAGGCGCAAGTGCCTGAGCAACAACAACAGAAGGCGAAACCTCATAGTCTTGTTCCAAGAGAGGAAACAAGAAAGAAGACGACGAAAAGGTCAAAGACCAAAAAGACCCAACACCAGCCACAACAGAATCAATTTCCATATCGTCTGTTCCCAAAGACGGACAAGAAAAAGACGAAGGCAAACTTTCTGTGGAAGGAGGCGAAACAGGAGCAACAAAAGCAACGGGAGAAACAGACACATCGGGACCAACAGGACAGACAGGCACAACGGGAGCAGCAGGAGAAAAATGTGCAAGAGGAGCAACAAAAGAAAAAGGCAAAGGGGGAGCGACGGGAGAAAAAGGCGCAACGGGAGCGACGTAAGCACCGGGAGCAACAAACGCAACAGGGGCAACGGGAGCAACGACGGGAGCAGCGACGGGAGCAACCCAGATATTTTCAGCTGCTCTGACTTCTACCAGAACCGAACAACCGACAGACAAAGAATTCTTGTACAACCAAGCCTTGGTGATGGTTTGACACACCAAAGCCCAGCGGTCAACAGCAACACTACCTGTTTTTAATTCCGGTGCCAGGGTTACAACACAAGAGGTCCAAAGGAACGAACCAACCGTACTCCTACCTCTTTCTTGTTGGGGTGAGGCGACGAGCGAATACCCCAGAGCAGTGCACGGAGCACCCAAAGAACAAGCGCGGTCCAAAGACAAACAAACGGTGCTCATACGGAATGGAGAGAGGGGGACAGGGGCTGGAAGAAGGGAGAAAACCCAATTTCCAGTTTGCTCTACCACAGAAGGAGCACTGGCGGGGACAGGACAAAGAGGAGCCCAGCCAACGTGATCATTGCTTTTTTGGTTGTTGATGTTGATCTTTTTGTTGTTGGTATTGTTGTTATTGTTGTTGCTGTTGTCTTTATTATTGTCCTTGTTGTTGTTATTGTTGTCGCTTTTTTTCTGGATATTGTTGCCTTTCTTGTGGATTGCAACGGAAGGAAGACCGCGAATTAAAAAAGCAAGTACTTTTTCCCGCAAGAACAAGTTAATGGCTTGCATCACGAAGCAGACAACGCAAGACAAGAAGAAGACAAAGTTTGACATTTCAAGCGTAATTCTGTGAATGGTGAAATTAGAATTCATGATCATGTCATCACTTTCAATTTATTTATTACTTACTGGTCTGCGAAATGGTGGTAATCAGTCATTTTAAAATAAAAAAAGCAGATAAAGAAAGGTTAAAAAAAATTGTTTTCCAAAATCTAAACAACTAAAAAAAAAAGTGACGGTTTTCATAGAAAAGCCGCTCAAACATATTAGTCACAAAATCATAGTTTACAATAAAATACGCCTAAATATAAGCCACAACAAGATACACTTAAATATAAGCCACAAGAAACTCTTCCCCTAAAATTCTAATATTCTTCGAGTAAACGTATTTATTTCTGATAACACTCGTACTTTTTTACATACCGCTTCGACCGGTTATGACTGTGTAAATATTTAAATTTACGGATCATAACCGGAATCCGTTTAATAAACAAATAACTGGGACTCCAGCGGTGGCCACTCAATTATTATAATGCGGGTGTCAGTTCATTCCTTCTATTAATTTAACAACCATACCGTCAATTTGCTGTAATAACTTAAAAAACTGTACTATCTTCATTCAGTAATTAATTTATTAGCCTGCCTTTTTTAGACTGATTAATACCATTATGTACGGAAGTATAGTATGGTGTCATTTAACTAAAATCTACCGATGGGGATACCATAGTGGCTACGTCTTTGACAATTCAGATTATAGCTCTACTATGACTGTATTGATATTCGCTATATGCTATGAAAGATCCAACATCATTCGCTTTGCTAAAATAAAGGTGATGTTGAATTCTTTTTTATTACTGGATTAATTGAAGCATATATTCGGATATGCTGTACAATCATGGGATGAAATTAGGGAAAACGATGCATTCAAATGGATTTAATATTAGGATTTCTGCGATGAAAACGTTTTTATTTTGTAACAAAAAAACGTATACAAACGAGATATAATTACACATTTCAAATAATAACCTTAAATTTTCCTGTGATTGTTGGGGATCCTGTAATTATCAGGGGAAGTGAAGAAGTATATTGTTTTCTTACCATGGTATTCACTTTAACTACACTACACAAATAAAAAGCAGCGTTGCAATGATATGCTTACTAAAAAACGCAAATTTGGTGTTGAAGATAGTGGGACAGAGTATCAGTAAGACGATTAAAAAACTAACAATCTGAAGACTAGCATACGCTTATTATTTATGGCTGCCAGCGGATATACAGTTGTGGACTACGGTGATAATGAAACAGAATGCAAAATGGGGTGTGAAGATGAGTGATAGCTCGACAATTTATTTTTAGGACAATACGTTATTTAAGCAAAAAAAGCTTACCCTGAATAAAATCAAAAAGTAGCCAAAACAGGCTGTTTTACTATCATTAAATAGGCGAGATCTATGATAGAAGCTGTAAAGTATGGGCAATTAATAACAAACAATTAATATGATATACAAATGCATTGTGCATATTCTTTAACCATATCAGGCTGTAAAATGATGAGCATTGTTTGGCTCAGTACATACAGCGTCCTGAGAGCCTAAAACCTTCCTTCGTTACTAGCTTTTTTATTGTTACGAATTGTCATGCAGACGTACCGTTTTATTTTGGCGGTGTATTAGGCAACTAAGGAACGGCCAGTCGTGCCTAAACTACTGCTGTAACCAGAATCTTTTAGGCATTTATAAAATATGCTTGTCAGTCTTTAAAAGTTTTAAGACGGATTGCTTATCTTACTAGTTTGTATATAATAACAAAACTTACTTTGGAAGAATGAAAAAAATCTGGTGTACTGATGCAAGTAAAAAAGATGTAGATCATTTTGTAAAGAGAGAATCATTAAACGGGATAAAAACTAAGAAATAAGTGACAATGTGTTGTGCCAACGTAGAGAAAAGATGACTTCTCATGAAAAAAAAGGCACGAACCGATTAGTACGGATTGGGAGGGGTGGCCTTTTTTAAGATTTTTACTGTAGGGTCATATATGGGGTTGGGCTGATCACTTCTTCCAAATAAGCACGATACACGAGTAATAGTAGCTGGCATGGAACTGCCCTTCAATGAATGATTATCAATCCAAAAAAAAACCAGGGAATTGAAAAAGAATGTAAAATAAATGTAATAAAATAACGAAGGATGAAAGGATTAAATGTTTTTTTTACTGTGACCAGATCATTGTGTGCAATAAATAGTCTAATTATGACCAGGGAGCCAAATTGAAACAAAATTGTTTTGTACGCTTTTTGTGATCACAACATGACAAATTACTTGAAAAGTAACTCAACATTCCGTGACTGCCAATTGAAACCAGCCCAACCATATTTTTTACTAAACATCAATCATAACCGATCCTTTTCGATTGCATTTTTATCCCAACTTTACTAAATAAAAGTTGTTACAAATAACCGAATCATAAACTAAATTATTAATACTAGTCCTAATGAACTTGGCCCTATTGAATATGGACGTTTATTCGGTGCATGGAAGTGGGGAGGATTGTTTGCGGAGATTGGCCGTCAGTTTGGTATCCCCAAAGATACCGTTAGGGATGCTTTAAATTGGTATACTAAAACCAACTCCACGTTAGCATCCATGAGAAAGGGGGCTCAGAAAAAGATTTTTATCGAACAGGATACTAATTTAAGACTTGCAATCCGTCGCAATCCAGTTAACAGCTATACTGATAATTGAAAGGCCGCGGTCACGTCAGGTTTGGAGTTATCTTAGGCGTCATACCGCAAATGCATCAAGAAAAGATGGTTCCAGCAATGTAACATCACTGAAGTACCATTTCGGACGGATGTCCAAAAGAAAAAGAGGGTTTTGTGATGTAAGGATATGGTGAATTGGTCTTCTGATTAGTGGCATTCTTTTATTTGGTCTGATGAGTTGATGTTTAGACTTGCAAGAGATGCTGATGGTGTCACGGTCATTAGAAAGCCTGGAAAAGGTCTGCAAGAGATGTATTGAGTTGGAACTTTTGAAATTAGGAAATGGATTGTTAATGATGTAGGGTTTCTTTTAAGCAAACATTTTGGGATTGCTCGTCATTCTGAGAGGAATAATTGACCAAGATAAGTACATCACAATGCTGTGAAATTATGCCATTTCTTAAATTGAAATTTAATGTTATATCTATAACAGAGCCTTTATATGTCAGGCAAACGATGCGCCAATCCACAAGGACAATTATGCCAAGTGGTATAAACAAAAGAACATGGTAACCAGATTTGAAACATGGCCACCAAATAGCCCTGATTTAAACCCTACTGAGTATATATGGGGATACCTCAAACTTCGTGTCAATAAGCGCTCAATAGGTGTTACAAATAATTCTAAGTTTGAGGATATGGTTCTAGACGAATGGTCGAAAAATGACAATGGATAGCTGGAGGCTTTAGTTTCTTCAACGCCCGCCGATTCAAGACTGTCATCGAAGCCAAAGGAGGCAACACCAGATATTAATTTTTTTTATTACACTTTTATACATTGTACTACACATTTTAAAGTATGTTATATAAAGTTTTGAAAGCACGTTGCCACAGTAAGTTTTTCACTAGAGCCCATTTTATTGGGATTTACTTTTGGGATATCCAAAAACCGAAAATTTTGGGCGGGTTTCAATTGTCAGTAACGGTATGTAAGTTACATCTGTAAGCAACGTTTTACAGAAATCGTATTAGCTGTTAAGCGTAAAATTATATGTAGGACAAAAGGAAAGTCCTGACTGTAATAAGCCACAATCGATGGGCTAAATAAATCCAGTTTCCCATAAGACAAACTTGTAATTCAATTTTTTCTGCATTCCGTAAAAACAACATCATATTAACAATCAAGACTCACATTTTAAATAGTAACAGTCATTGGCGCGTCGTAATTAACAAATGGGTCGCGGTATTTGTTTTTTCTTAAGAGGTGAGTGAAATGTAGATCATCTATACAAAGAATTACAACTAATTTAACCGACTTAAGCGGAAAACGTTCGGTCAGTTGCGCTCATTCTGTTTCGATTTAACGATTGCAATGGTTGAATGGGACATCATTGCAAGAATTCAAATGAAGTAGCACGAATTCTGAGATTCGAAGACGGTCTAAAGTAAGAGGTTTAACTCGGGTTGGTTATAAACAGTACCTTCTTTAAGTATGTAATAATTCAAACTAAAACGTGTGAAAGGACAACGTAATAACATTCTTCCTGTTACATTCCGCCATCCCTTCAAGTTCCGCGAAAAAAATGTCCAGCGAGGATTAATCAGAGCCACAAGAATTGGAAATGCAGAAGATCTTACGAGTACGACATCGCAAACCATAGTATATACACTTTTAATATGAGCCAGATGACCTTAGATACCACGAATTTCGGTGGGGTGGATGTTTTATAGTAGCGTTATTTCAATTCGCGTAGATAACGAGGTGCTAACATACATTTTAGAAAAATTTGCGAAGTTTATAAAAAACCTTTTTTCAGGCCAGAAAGTCGGGTAGATTTTAAAATCTGAGACAAGTCCCATTGTGCAATAAAGAGAAGATTATATTACTAAAGGTTTGGAGGTTAATAAGAGAGAACGTATTATATGATTTTAGGATGATAGTTGAAGAGTTTATTTTGTCAGGTAGCGTGACATCATCCCAGAAATGTCTATTTAAATCATTCGAGAAGAGTTATGGCAGTATAAAAACAGTTTTTCACCCGTCGATATTGATAGTGAGATAGTTTTTGATTTAAAGAGACACCGAGGATAAAAGTTCTAAATGCTTTAGTTAATGAATATCTACACTGAATAAACATTCGAGTATCATCCAACGAAACGATATTAATATAGAAACTTGATATTATACAAGTAGCCAGGAGTGTCTCGAAGACAGCCCAAGATCAAATACACCGATTTATTAATGGTGCGTTAACATTGTCAAATTTTTAAAACGTCTAGTTCTGATACCCGACCATTGTTAAATAACATGTGTATCAATTATTATAGGCGGTGTAAAGCCCATCATACTGACAAACATATGGGTGATTTTACCATAGATAGCTACGTAAAACATTAGGTCAGATACTGGAAGAGAGAATGTGTATTAATAAATTGGACCTTTGAAGCTATGAAAAGTGAACACTTTCTCGTGATCGAGGCTATATACTTCATTTGTGACTCTATCTATAGTTCTTAAATTTTCCATTTGATAATCCTAAATGTAATTATTATTGATACGTTATATATAATACTGATCATTATTTTATGTATAGGCTTGATATCATATCATTCTTCGTACAAGTATAAGGCATACATTTATATTATAACGTTAATATGAAAGCATACGAAGGTTACATCAGCCACGTCGAGGTGCCATAGCTATTTTTAATAAAAACTACATTCTCCCGTTAATATTCAGCAACAAGCCATATACATTTTAAAAATGAATGTTATTGTTATTGTTATTGAAATCTCATTATGGGCATTCTATATGGAATCATTACAACCGAGTATTATATGGTTAAGTCTACCCACAACCTTCATCAGCCGATATGTGATCCATGTCAGAAGTAATATGTATATGAAGACCGCATTTTATTTGTTTAATAAAGCTTCCGTTTATTTTTGAAGTTTGATAATTTCACTTTGTTTAATCTCTCATTTTTATTCTTATTCGCTAATATCACTCTCGAATTCCTCACAAATGCATTGAACGATAAGCCCTACAAATTAACATTAATGTCAACAACCAATCAGTGATAAAACGTGTGATTTGATTTAATAAATACACAAACAATCGTTTGCTTTGGTTTATCAACTCCATTTTGGGAGCATTAAAAAATTGGGATTATAGCCGAATTTAATCCTCGATTTCAAGCGATGATAAACATTGTTTTCTGTCGTTCAAAGCAATTAACTTCCATTCTGATTTTAACAAACAGGCAAAGTAAAAAAAGAATATCCCTGGCTCTCACCTCTTAATAGTTATGCTAATATCTACATTCTTTCGTGTTCCTGAATGTTTTTTGACGTATGGTTTCTTTTAAAAAAGAGAAAACAACAAATCATACAAAGAGATCAGAATTTTGTGGTAGGTAATAAATCGGTAAATGATGACTGTTTTTGGAATTTTTATGAATGAGCATCGAACAATGACTCACATACCTCTGACCTAACAAACGTATATGCAATTTGTACCATTTATTACAAGTTATTGTGCAATAGGTAACCATGCGCTATGTTCATATTCTCAAAATTGCATTCTCCGGCTTAAAGTCATTTAATCATCCCGAGAGGTATTTGTGACAACCGGATTGGGAAACCTCACGTTTATACCTATACATATAGGAGAGAATGGGGAAACTAATTACGAATTTAAGCATCACTAACACGTACGTCGGTTTGATGTTAAAAAATATTTGTATTTTTTTGATGCATCATTATTCAAAAGTTAAGTGTATCAGAGAAAAGCCAACTTTGTAATCTTTTTTTTTTAAAAAAAGGAAACGGACCGTGGTAGACCCGTTATATTCAATGGCGTGTCAATTAGACATTGTCCACGGGGTTCCATACATATTGCGTTTTCCAATTGGTGATCGCAGTAACACACCTTTTATGCAAGTCAACCTTTTCAAGATCTGGCAACAGGAATTCGGCCAAATCAATTTTCTGACAATAGCCAATAAGGGTAAACTTGTTTTTCTTTTACTTTTTTCTTTTTTTCTTGTCTTACTTCCATCATTACTTTTTCGTTTCTGTTTTTCCTTTCTCTTTTTTTCTTTTTTTCATTTTTCCATTTTCGAATTTTTCGAATTTTTCGAATTTTTCCAATTTTCCTTTTTTCCATTTTTCCATTTTTGTATTTTTCCACTTTTTTTGTTTGTCTTCGTGATAATTTCTTCGCCGTACCATTAAAACATTATGTACCTTATTGAATTTGTCATAAAAAAAGAGAATGAAGTTGATCTACAGCTGCAGGTTTCAATGTCGTGACTGGCAGTCGAAGTATATAACTGCCATTTATGGATTCTGCATCAGTGGTAGCTCATTATTAGTGGGCCATTACAGACATGAACTTTATCACGACTGGGAAAAATCTCGTTACCGATGCAATCTTAGTTGTAATCCCAGTATTACAAGCGTCACCTTCATACAGAGCTTAAATAGCATCCACGGAAAATTGGACAGACATTGTTTTATCCCAAGCAACAACAAAAATGCGAAATGGTCATTTGTTCTTCTGGTGGGTTTGAGAGCAGATAAAAACAAACAACAACGAGAAAAAGCATTTCACTGCCAATTGCAAAAAAAAACATTTCCTACAAAAAATGATTCGCTGTCGCATGTCTTGATTAAAACTTCTAAATGTGAAAAAACGGTCAAATGCGCGATCAGCCAGATTGAAACAGATAGCACACGAGATAATAATAATATACCCAAAAATTTAACTTTTTTGTTTCCTCTTTTTCTCTTCCAGCTTTTTTCCTCCGGTGCGTTTTCGATGGTGTTCCTTTTTCCCACTATACAATTTTATTGCAGTTCTTCTTCTCTGTCATTATGGTGACACGTAAAAGCAATATTTTAGATAATTGTTTGTCAGCACGTTGTTATGTACGTATTCCCCATCAATCATAAAATCTTTCGTAAATAAGTTAAGACTTAGTGAACATTTTTATTTCATATTTTTGAGCTAAAAAACTATACATTTTTACTATAACTAAAACGAAAATTTCCTCCTGCTTTAATTTCCTTCATCAGATATATTATCTAATAACTAGCTTCCCTTTTCATCTTTCTTTCTCTATCTCCATTATAATAAAAATAATAATTATCGTTTACTTCTTTGTCCTTGTAAGAAAGCATTCTTCTGTCTGTCCTGTCCTCCTATCCGCTTCGGATATTCTCTATCAATCATTGGTCTGACGTTGAATTCTTTTGCCGCTCTTTTTTTTTCGCCGTTCCTTTTCGTCGACGCTTTTTTCCCATGCGCTTCCCTTTCCTGACCGTTACTTTTGAATTACATTTTTTTTCAGCTATTCCTCTTATGCCGCTTCGTGTGTCGTTTTCTCCGTCTTTTTAATAAGAATCAACCATTATAATCTTAATCTTATTCGTCTTCATTGAAAATTTAATTGAAGTAGTCTAACTACAAAAATGCGCTCAGACCTAATGATTGTAGGGACTGGCATCAAAATGAGGATTTCAATGCCATTGTAAAACTAACAATAAGATCTTTTTGTATACTTTTATTTCTTTTGCATCACTGCTGATTTTGCAGATATATAGTAACTTTATAGGATACCAGGAATGCAAAAATATATGAATTTTGTTTGGCTGTGGACTGTTTTGTTAATTTTTTTTCAATTTTAAATATTTTGGAGGTATAAATATTTTCTGTTTCCAAAAAATGTTTTACATTTTTGGATAACGTTATATGCAAATACATAAGAATCCTTGTAATCGATCATTGATAGGTATCCTAGAACGTTACAGCAATTGGTCGATATTAGCCAAATTTATAGGTCTGCAGGCACGTTGGTCATTTCTAGTCACGGCCAATGTATTCAACGCTAATGTTTCAAGCTTGGTTCCGATTCCAGCTCGGCCAAAAATACAGTGAACATGATTCTACTTTGATGGGTAAAGAATGAAACGAAATTATGTCGGCTTGAATCAAATATCGAGTATGTACCAAAGATTAACTGAGCTTCTCTCTAAACCAAATTTAAAATCTGTTCCCTTTTAGATCAATAGGAATGTCTTAATTTGGTTTTAAGCCTGATAAGTAAATAAAAAAAAGATTACCATAGAGGTTATTATTTTCCATCTTTTTTATTCAAGCATACATTAGGAATGAGTGGCATTAATGATATTGCACTTTTTCCTTATAATGTCACGTTGTCGGAGGAACTGTTTCCGGTAGTTGAGTATGGCAAAGGGTTGAATACCTCAACAGGTCTCGCGCTTTTCATTTGGATCCGCCATCTGAGGCGGCTTAGAACCTATTGAATTGTTCAACTATGCCTGCCTGGTGTTCTGGAGAAAACTTGAACAACTCCTCATTACAGGATGATTTGTATTTTGAGCTTTTCAATTCGAGTGCGCCTCCCGCTACCTTAACCATTTCTCTGGTAAAAGAAAACGAGACGGCATCATCACCCACCCAAATGACTGCCGCATTGGATGTAGAAGTTTCTTAGGCTGGAACAATATCCAGATCATCCACCACTGAAACGGCTACTTCTTCAACAACAGCCATCAAAAGAAATACGAATTGTTCTTATGGAGCGGAAGAAAAAAAACAAAAAAGAAAGATGATTACAAATGTTTAACTGGTAAATGGGTGTTTGCAAAAAATACAACCTCGACACACATTTAGAAACACATTTCCAAAGTCGAGTGAAACTTTTAGCTTGCACTGATTGCCATATGTCATGATCCTGTCACATCTTATGCCCCAAATATGCAATATGAGTAACCAGCTTTCAGACTCAATATGTATCATTGATCTGTCAGCTCTTTAAATCCTTTGTCATGATGCACATAAGCTAAGACTAACTTTTGTCATTGCTTATTCTTTTATTTAATTTCTTGTTTTTCTTTCTCTATAAATATAGCTGATAAATTTCACTTCTCCCAGTTTTCTTTATCAGATATATTTCATAATCATCTTCTCTTTTCTTTCCTCCCTTTTATTTTTAAATAAATAACCTGCTTCAGGAAGCTATTCATTCTCTGTCCTGTCCTGCCTGTCTCGTTCCTCCCTCGTTCCTGAAACCATATGCCATTTAATCGAAAGTCACATCTGACAAGACATGGCAAAACAGTACATAAGCAAAAAAAAGGTCATGTCTGTAACCACCACGCTACTCCGTTCACCCGAGCTGATAATATTAGAAAACACACTAAAAAGAAGGAAGCGAATAATTAATTGCTTCTTTTTTCACTTCTTATACGTTATTTTCTTTGCTCTTTTCCACTACACAATTTACGCCCTCACATTCTCCTTTTTTTCCAACTGTATGAAGATCCCCATCGCATCAATTAAACTACTTAAAAACACCGTAAGGATTGCGTTTATCTTATTTTTTGGTTTGAAGTCCTTATGATGTATTTGTAATGACAGTACCGGACTTAACTCAAAGTAGTAAAAATTTAAAATTATTTTGTTTAGATAAAGTGGTTTATTCATATTTCCTAGTGGGCATCTATTCTATAATGAATAATTTTCGTTAAAACGGACATTTTAAGAACTTAAAATTCCGACTTTTACACTGGTGATTTGCATATTTTTTGAAACAGGAATGTAATGTTGGGCGGGAATTGACATTCTCTGATCGTATGATGTTGATGAGAGATATATTTAGAGGGGATTCAGGCTGTAGCTTGAATAAATGTATGGTTTCTATCATATATTCTAACGGATCACGTCACAATAAAGTCGAAGTTTCTGATTTGGATCTTAGTTTAATCCCTTTTGAGTCAAACTGGCTTATTCTGCACTTTTGTAATGTGCCTGACGTGACACACTATTATTGATTGTAGATAGTATCAACTTTAAATATAAAATAAGATAACTTTTGTTTCTTCAATTCATTTCTGATATTTAGAATGATATTTCGAAACTAATTTATTTAGACTGCACTAAATCTTTAGTTTGATTAGCGTATAAGCTAAATCCTTAGTGTCAGCCTAAGTCTACATGACACTTTATTCTGAAAAGGCTAATAACGATTAAAAACTATAACAGGAAAGAACTATTGTTTTATTGTTGCTGTGTAATTTGTTACAAAACTTAATTGAGTTACACAGAAGATCTTTTAGCTAAGCTCAAATTCTTAACAGGAAACGAACTTATAGCGGGAAAATGTTTAACCAGGATATGTCTGATAGATTTTTATGATTATTTGCACTGTAAATCACCTCCCGGACATCTTTGTGTCTTCCCACTGTAAATGGCAAATTGTGTTTTGCCATGTTTAAAAAAAAGCTGTGTGAAAAGAAAAAAAATGGGCTTAATGGTTTATGAAGAATTCTCTAATAAAGAACATAACAAAGCCGGATTTTTAATACATGTTAAATTCATCAAGGAGATAGCGATTTCCTTTTTTTTGGAAATCGGAGCCAAAAATATTTCATTATAAAATAGATGCAGTGTACATAATTTTTTTGTTAGATTTTTCAGAGACAGATCCTCATCACCGAGAAAAAGGGCATGTAGCACGAAAGAGACCATGCTGAGATAATAGGAGCTATTAATGTGTTTGATTGACTCCTGCTCTTCACTATTATTATTCAAAGCTTGTCTTATCTGATTTATTCCAGGCAAAGATTCATTACCATCAGCTGTCACTGCACTTTCAATACATGAACTGAATGGACGAATCACATTTGCATATTGTCAGTAATCCTTAAAAAATAAATCGTTATTCTGGTCTTTCTCTGATTCGCTCTCTTTAAATTGAGAAAAATAAAGATTATTATTACCACCGTCATTAATATTAAAAGTTGCAGATCCGGGTAATAATTTATCGCTAAACAGATTTAATTAGCGTCTATTCTAAAAGTTGAACGTTTGTTATATATATCCTGAATCGAGATCATCATCTACAAGTACATCATAAGTTAAATGAGTTTCCATTATACCATCCATTGCCGTAAGGGGGGTTGATAGGTCCTTATTGTCATTGTCTTCAACGAAAGAATGAAAATAATGACCAACACTGGTAGTATTCCGTCTTCTACAGGAAAATACAACGCATTAGGTATTAATGAGGGATGATATAGTATTGCATATTTAATATTACCTTCTTAATTTTCTCTAATGTGCTCTTTTTTAAAACTATTATACTGCTTGGGTTGGTGCTTTTTGACATGTCTCAAAAATGATTCCAAACGTACATACTCAGATTTGCCACCACTTTAGCGACAGTCAGGCGTACTGCTACATCTTCTAATTTCTGATATACAGCTGTCAGTTATGAAACGAGTGCTGCCTTCAGTTTGATTATTTTGATTCGACATCGTTTAAAAATATGAAAAAAGCAAAAATAAAAGTTCAAAGTAACAAATTCTCTAAAAAAGTCTATAAGTACCCTAAAATTATGTGAAAGATATAAATTTTTTTTCTGCGATAACAGAGTCCAAAAAACTTGACATAATACATGCTTCTCTTCCTTATATTCTTTAGAAATTAAGTAATTTCTGTTATTTTGTTCTTTTCAAAGAAAGATTTACATGATTTGTAATAGATTTTTACTCTAATTATTTTAATCCTTCATATTTCGTCTCAAATTCTTCATGGCAGTGCATTAGTATTTTCCTTTATTTTTAAAGTAGTTCCTAACGAACGCGTTTTTGTATTTTAGGTTGATTCCCCTATGGAAGGTTTTATCCTCCATTTTTTAAAACTCAATACATTTTATATTTTCAAATTCATGAGTGGGTAAAAAGAATATATACAATAGTGGACTCCTGGAGAATTCCTCTGTTGTAAAGAACGTCATTTAAAACATTCTGTATGCTTGTTACATTAGAATTGCGTCTGTAATCATAAAATTACCAACCTCTAATTTGTAAGCACGACCGTAATTACCATATATTGTAGCAATTTGTGTAATTCAGCAGGCATAGCGAGCAATTTACTAGTTTTCTTTTCACATAACATGGCAATGATCCCTCGAGTAGGAGATCTGATTTGTAACGCATTAGGTCCAATGAACAGTATATTGTAAGGTAATGGACAAAATTTTGTAACATTAAGACATAGTTAGAATAATGTACCTTGGCGGTGATGGCGTCCATAAAGTAAAAAATAATATGTACCCAGAGGCATCGCAAAATGACGTCATAGAATACGCTCTTATCATTTGGATAGGAAGATATTAATTTTATTTTACAATGATACGCGATAAATCTTCTAATATAAATGGGTGCCGGCGTGTAATTTTATTTTTATTTTTCTTCAGGAATATTCATAATGGTCATAAACGACATCACTGATTTTCCTTGCAATGCGACATGGGTGGATGAGTTGTTTTTAGGAGTCGAATACGGAAAAGGGTCGACTAATTCAATAGGTCCGGCGCTTTCTTCTATAAAACTGCCATCCGAGGAGGAGCGTGATTTGCTGGATTATTTTTTCCTTCCTGCTTGGTCTCCGGGAGACTTCTTAGAAAATAGTTTGATGCGAAATCAAGGCTTATTTGATATTTTTAATTCTTCTTTGTCACCCCTACGGGCTACTGATGAACCAAAGATCAATGAGACGGCAGCGACAGTCAGTGAAATACCAGATAAAGAAACGCACGCATAAACAGCATCTACATCCACTCCGAAAAGAAAAGTAAACAAGTGTCTTCCTCGAAAACATTATGCAACAAAAACCAGAAAACAAGTGTGGGATAAAAATGCGCAATCTGCCAACATGTTTTCAGTAAGAAATTTAATTCAAATACACATTGGGAGAGCACACAACAAAAACAGAATCAAAAATCACCGACGTTCACATTGCAATATACTTTTCGATCGCAGCACATATATAAAATGACATAACGAGATTGTCCATCAACAGCTAAAACACATAATTGCACTTGTTACAAATCAAAATACACTCGGGCAGAAATTTAAAAAGCATGTCGCTAAAAAGCTTGCTGACATTTAGTTCTTATATTTTTTTGTTTTCCCTCCCCATTTTCGCTCTTCCTAATAAATAATTTTTTGTAAACGATGTTTTGAAGGACGTTACAAAACGTCATCATGTCGTGTCCTAAAAACGTAGTAGTAAAACCATAAATTTACTCGATAGACAATCACGACCGTAGTAGTCCTTACAAATTTCATTTTCATTACGCTATGAATTTTACATTGCTGGAATCGTTTTTTAATCCATCATCGGTATATGATTTTCCTAGTAGCGTAGATACGAGTAGTCCTATCTTTGATTTTTTTGTTGTTCGAGGTATACTTTTTATAAAGTTTAAATAACAGACGAATCATTTATACGATGTGATCAAATTATATGTCTGTCACAACATAATCGTAGAAAGAAGAGTAAAAAAAAAGAAACCTGTAGCATGTCTTCATTCCTAAATTTTCTCCTAATTCGACCATGGTACTTATGAAATGAGGTTACTGTCAGAATAATAAAAAAAATATATTTTTAGGCGAGCTCAAATAGAACTTGATATAACTACCAGATAGCTTCACAATGGAGAACTTGTCGTCAGCGACATACTTCCGCGCTATAGCAGCATTACGGACTATAATCGTAACATGATTATTTAATGGAGCGTGATAGTCTCGTGTTGCATTTTGAATCTAAATTGGTAATTAATCAGTATATAAGGGATTCATATAAGAACTTCCGCGTGTTTAAAAAACTAATAATTTTGACATTAGACAATTTTGTTTTTATAAAAAAAAAACACTGTAAAATGCAATTATGAAAACATTTACGTCAAAAAAGAAGAGCGATGTTAAAGTCAACTTTTATACCTAATGACTAGTTTTTTATTGATTTCAATGTTGAAAAAGTTAAAAAAAATAGCATCACCATCTAGTGAGTTAAAACTTGGCTTTACGAAGTAGATTAGAAATGGCAAAGAGAGAAATGACATCGGAACAGAATTTGTTTACGGAATGCATTTTTTGACAGTTATGTGAGAACTAGAGTTATCGTACCATGGTGGAGTACTCAATTCGAATGAACTTTTTTTTCGCCATTCCTCCATTTTTTTTTATATTTATAAAAAACCAACATGCTAAAGAGAAGTATAATCCTGTGTCAATATTCTTTGAAAATATCTGCCCCTTAAATTACCGCCATTTTCTGAATTTAATAGAAACATTTCCATGATAATGTCCAGACATTTTGCATTCTTATTCCCAATGGCTGCCGAAATTATTAAAATGGACATAAAAGACTGATAATTAAGACAAAATAAAAAATTTATTTTTTGAGCAAAAGCTCACGTACAACCAGAAAACCCAAAGTCCACCCCAACAGGCACGACAGAGTTAAACTCGGCGTAATGTGGCTTGCCCACCGCCCACGAAGAAAAGGAGCCACACAAACCACCTCCAAAAGCAACAGGAGCAACTGCAAAACCCACAGCAGACGCAGGTTCAACCTCGTCCAGGTCCATTTCATCTTCCAAAGAAGGCTCGACTGGACAAGGAGCAAAAGACAAAGAACCGGACAACAAAGCGCCACCAGCAGCAAAAGGCGCAAGGGCCCGAGCAACAGCAGCGGAAGGGGAAACGTCATTATCTTGTTCCAAGAGAGGAAACAAGAAAGAAGACGCCGAAAAGGTCAAAGACCAGAATGAGCCAACTCGAGGCACAACAGGATCAATTTCCATATTGTCATCTCCCAAAGAAGAACAAGAGAGAGACGAAGGAAAACTGTCGGCCGTAGAAGGCGAAACAGGAACAACGAAAGCAACTTCCGAGAGAGGCACAACAGGCACAACAGGAGCAACCGCACTACCTTCAGCAGAGACAGGTTCAACATCGTCAAGGTCTATTTCATCTGACAAACAAGGCTTGACAGGACGAGGAGACAAAGACAAGGAACCAGAAAACAAAGCGCCACCAGCAGCAAATGGCGCAAGGGCCCGAGCAACAGCAGCGGAAGGGGAAACGTCACTGTCTTGTTCCAAGAGAGGAAACAAGAAAGAAGAGGACGGCAAGGTCAAAGACCAGAAAGAGGGAACACCAGACACAACAGAATCAATTTCCATATTGTCTGCTCCCAAAGACAGACAGGAGATAGACGAACGCAAACTGTCTGCCAAAGAAGGCGAGACAGGCAAACATGCAGCAACGGGAGCAACAACGGGAGCAAAGGGAGCAACAACGGGAGCAACCCAGACATTTTCAAACGTAATTCTGTGAATGCTGAAATTAGAATCCATAATCATGTCATCATCTTGAATTTATGTATTACTTACTGGTCTGCGAAATGGTGGTAATCAGTCATATTTTTATAAAAAAAAGCAGTAAAAGAAGGGTTAAAAAAAATTTTTTTCTAACATCTAAACAACAAAAAAAAGTGACGGTTTTCATAGTAAAGCCACTGAAATATATTAGTCACAAAATCATAGTTTACAAAAATACACATAAATATAAGCCACAAGAAAATACACTTAAATATAAGCAACAAAAAATGTTCACCTAAGATTCAATTATCCTTTGAATAAACTTATTGAGTTCTGATAACACTCGTACTTTTTTTGCATACCGCTCGTAGCGGTTATGACTGTGTAAATACTTATTTTGACGGATAATAACCGGACTCTGTTAAATATACAAGTAGCTGGAACTCCCGCTTTGGCCGTCATCTATTGTAATGCTGGTACAATCTTATACAGTCTATTACCTTAACAGCCCCACCATCAATTTGCTGTAATAAAGTTAAAAACTGTGTCATCGTTATGCAGTAATTAATTTCATAGCCAGCCTATCTTAAACCAGTTATTACCATAATGCCCGGATGTATAGGATGGTGTCATTGGACAAAAATATATAGATGGGGACAAGATAATGACTGCATCTATGATAATTCAGATTATAGCTCAACTATGACTGGTTTGATATTCGTTATATGTTATAAAAGATCGAACATCATTCGCTTTGCGAATCAAGCTGATGAGGAATTGAATTTTAATAATGGATTAATTATAGCATATATTCGGACATGCTATAGAATCATAGGATGAAACTATAGAAAAAGTTGTATTCAAAAGGGTTTAATATTAGGATTTCTGGGATGCAATCCTTTTAATGTTGTACAAAAAAACATATACAAACTACGTATACTTACGCATTGGAAATAATAAACCTCACCTTTTTATGTGTCTTTTTTAGATCCTGCAATGATCACCGGAATTGCAAGAATATATCGTTTTGTACCCATAGTGCTCACGTTAAATATATTATACAAGTAAAAAGCAGCTTTACGTAGATATATTCACTAAAAAAAGCTAATGTCGCACTGATGATAGTGAGACAGAGTATCAGCAAGACGATTAAAAAACTAACAATCTTAAGGCGAACATACGTTTAATATTGCTGGTACCCAGCGTACATACAGTTGTGGACTACGGTTGTATTTAAGCCGAATCCACAAGGGTGCTTAAAGATGAGGGATAGCTCGGTAATTTATTTTTAAGACAATACGATATATAAGCCAGACAGTGTATTATAAGGCTTACCCTGAATAAAGTCAAAACCTAATCATAAAAGGCTATTTTACTATTATTAAATAGACGAAATTTAAGATGGTACAGTGAGTGGACAAAACTGTTCGAGTGTTTAGAAAATTTCAGTCCCATCTTTGTCAACAATGTGTAAACTCCTCGAAATAATTTCAAATTTTGACAGATACCAGTGCACGCGTTGCTACACCAGCAATAACGTTTTTGTATTTTTTGCGTCACAGGAACAGCGGATATTCTGGGTTTAAAACTGCTTATCACTCGAACAGTTATGTCCAGTGCTGAAATTTTTTAGAAAACCATAAAAATCTTTCGAAAAAACAGTCATATAAGCCCCAAAAAAAATTTTCAGACAGGTTTTGGTGGCTAGTCCACATATTATTTTTTTCTCTTTATTTTCGTAATATAAGACTTTACTCATTAAGATGACAAAAAGCATTTCTTTGACATTAAAAAACGAGATCATTAAATTACTAAACGACGGGCTTTCTTTTCGAGAAATAGCAAAAAAAGTGTCTGTTAGTTTGTCAACCATTGCAAAGATAAAAAAACAAGCTAATCTCGACATTCACAAAAAAATTGGTGGAGCACCTCGCAAGATTTCAACATCAACAGGTCGCTCATTGATTAGAGGCTTCAAAACAAATGTGAACAAGACTGTCAAGGATGCTGTTGAGGCTCTAAAAAAGGAAGAAGTGTTTGTCTGCGGAAGGACTGTTCGCCGCATGTTGAATTCGGCCGGGATGAAGGCTGAACATAAGCCTAAAGTACTGCCATTAACACCAAGCCGTAAAAAGGCGAGACTTTCTTGGGCCAAGGTCCACCAAAACTGGACTGTTGATGATTGGAAGAATGTTGTTTTTAGTGACGAAACGAAAATAAACCGTATTGGCTCTGACGGAGCTCAGTGGTTTTGGAATGCCACAGACGAAGAGATCCGAGATTGTCATCTCCAACATTTGTACAAGCATGGTGGTGGAAACATAATGTTGTGGGGTTGTTTTCTCTGGGAAGGTCCTGGATACATTGTTCGTATCGATAGTACTATGGACAGCAAGTTATACTGTGATATTTTGAGCGACGATCTAACGGCCAGTGTTAGTTACTACAATCGAAGTATCAAGGATGTCGTATTTCAGCAGGATAATGACCCAAAACATACCTCGAAAATGGCAAAAAACTGGTTTCAAAACAATGACGTACGCGTATTAGATTGGCCCTCATATTCCCCAGATCTAAATCCGATCGAGAATCTCTGGGCGATAATAAAAAAACGACTTTGCGCCTACGAAACGGCCCCAAAAAGCTTAACCGAGCTATTCGACCGGATCACCCAGGAATGGGACAAAATTGCCCCAAAGTTATGCCAAGACCTTGTAATATCTATGCCAAAAAGGATTGAAGCGGTTATCAACGCCAAAGGAGGAAGAACCAAATATTAGTCGTAAAATTTTCCATTGGACAAAACTGTTCGAGTGTCCACAAAATTTTATGTAATTTTCGTTACACCAAAAATGGGCCTGAGTTTAAATAAAACCAATTTTTATTTGTAATAGTCAATTAACTATTGTACGTAATTTTCGCGGATTTTTTGTATGCTATTACGATATGGAAATAAGAGAAAATGTAGCTTTTTAAAAACACTCGAACAGTTTTGTCCACTCACTGTAGCATTAACGTATAGGTAAATAATAACAAACAATTAATATAATTTACAAATGAATAGTACATATTCTTAATCGAAATCGGGTTATAACATGAAGCACATTGTTTGGTTTATTACAGACAATGTTCTAACAGCGTAAAACCTTCCCTCATTACTAAGTTTTTTACTGTTATGAATTCCCAAGTTGACGTAGTTTCTTATTTTGGGGGTGTATTAGGCATCCCCAGGAAGGCTAGTAGTGCCAAAATTAAAGTTATAACAATAATCTTTTACGCATCTATGAAAATGCTTGTCAGTCTTCCAAAGTTTTAAGACGGAATACTTATTTTACCAGTTTGTTTATAATAAAAAAAGTAGTCTGGAACAATGAAAAAAGTCCGGAGTAGTGACGCAAGTAAAAAAGATGCAGATCATTTTGTTAAGAAAGAGCCATCAAACGGAACTAAGACTAAAAAATACTAGACAACGCTTTGTGCCAACATAGAGGACAGATGAACTGTCATAAAAAAAAGGCAGGAAGACGATTTGTACGGAATAAGAGGCGTGGCATTTTTTACAATTCTTATATAGAATCATATGTAGGGCTGTTTTGGTCACCTCTTTCAAATATACACTATACAAGAGTACTGTTACCTGGCATACGAATGTGCCTATAATAAAAGATTATCATTTCAAAAAAAAAGATATTGGGAAATTCGAGAGATATAATAACGAATTAAGAATAAAAATAAGAAATTTGACGAAGTAAAAATTATCATACAAAAATGAACTAATGTCTGTATTATTCAATACATTGGGGTTTTTATATACATATTTAAGGCTGGATAAATGTCAATCATTTGAGTAAAACCTGCAAAATATATAATAGGCGTATTGTCAATTAATGATGGAGCATCTCAAGATACCTTCGAGAATCTTGTTATTGACGAGCGATCATATAATTCGATTGTATTATCTGGAATAAATGTATGACTGTTGTTTTCTATATACTGATAAGTAATCTATGCGTAGTAAATAGAGTGTAAAATAGCATGTATTTAATTTAAAGAATAATGTAATTATGACTTACAAAAAGGTTATCAATTAAAAACGTGACGTTGACGGATGCTTTGATCATTTGCGTATATGGCCATGGCGCTTTGATTATTTATAGACAGCACTGTTAGAGCTGCCTATCAGTCTGTATCGGCAGCAATAAATTAACATTCCCATCAATGCCAGTAACACTAGGGGCCGAAACCGCTATAGTCAAGGAAGCATTAATAGCAACGGTAATAGCATCAACCGAGAAAAATATTTTGCAAGCGCGTTAGGAAACGAAAGAAAAACAGAAGCGAACTACGGATTTGCCTTGGCAGTTTATCAACACGTCCTCTCATGAGAAAAAAATATACTACCACACGTCCCCTCATGAGATCAAAATATACTACCACACGTCCCCTCATGAGAACAAAATATACTACCACACGTCCCAAGTCATAATAAAGACCGTGAAAAACGATTTAAATGTACAGTCTAAAAGTACTGTTATGTTTACAAATGTGACACGAAGAGACATAGAGACAATAAACTCTTTGCCTCTTCATTTGGACTACGTGTATTCTCCCTGACGTTAGTTTTTTCTTTTACTGATTTCAGACGGGTAATTCTCTTCTTCTTCTTATGCTCTTCTTGTATGCCTAATTTTAATGCAGGAACAAAGTCATGTTTGGAATTTGTCATGATAAAGAAAGCTTGAGTAGCTTGTGATTTTGTACCCATCCATAAAATTGTTTAAAACGGTTCTATTGGTACGGTCTCCCATTCGAATATGAAACAACTTTCACACACATTTTTTGATCGCATTTTTACTTATCTCAAAAATATAGTTTTAAACATAGCGAACGAACAAAAATACGTCCAATATACAAATTTAAGGGATTTTTTGCATGTAGAGAAAGAATGCTTCACTACACTCATTGTTTTGACATTCACTTATTTATGGATCATTAGCTGCCATCTGGCTTCATTAACATTTCGCAATTGTGTTCAGGTCTATATACCGTTTGGGCCAGAAATCAGGCCTTTCGAAAGATAATTCAGATTTAATGACTCCTTTCCATAGATCTGCTAGTGATGTCTAGCACGGTAAGCAGTCAAAATATTACGTTGAGAAATAACAGTAGAACATTTTTCGGTGACTTCAAACGATGCCATATATGATGATTAAAAGTTGTTTCAGGACTTGACTACTTTTATTTATACTAGAGTAAGATTCGGAGCAGTTTACCAAATTACAAATGCTATAAATTTCCAGATTGGGTGATTCAAAGGAGTCGAATGACAAATCGGTTTATTTGCCTAGACTTTACAAATTAGGAAAAAGAATGAATGTCGAAACAGGTCCCATTCCGTAACATTTTCTGAACAACTAGAAGATTACGTTGCTTATAGTAGAATGTCACACCAAAAGGCGTAAGTACTGCGACAGACAAAATGCGGTATTTCAAAAAAATACTGTAAGAAATGTGGTTTCCAATATATTTGAGATCCGAACATCGTGCAATTACACTTTCAGCAAGACAAGGCATCATTCCATGCTGAAAATTAAAATCATTTTGACTAATTGACAGAGTTGTCTGTTTCGTTAATTATATCTGGACTTTCAAGTCGTTTAATAATAAGCAAAAAATAAGACCGCCAGGCTTTTATTATAAAAGGCCTTGAGTAATGCTTTGATATACTGAGTACGTGTCAGAAATCAAGTTGAAAGTCAGTTTCTCCTATCGTCCAATTGGAATGAGTTGACTTTGTTCTATACTGATAGGTAATAAAAGTTAACTAAAAGAGTAGCGCTATTTTTTTCCCTTTTTTTTCTTTTGTGTATTTTTTTTTTTTTTTTTTTAGCATTAGTTGTGTTGAGCATCATGGAGAATACTGAACTTTTTCGCAGTAATGTGGCGTTGTCGGAAGAGCTATTTCCAGGAGTCGGGTATGGTAAAGGGTTGAATGATTCGATTGGTCTTGCACTTTCTCGTTTGGAGCCACCATCCGAGGAGGTTCAGGGCCTGTTGGATTATTCAAACCTTCCTGCTTGGTCTCCTGATTCAATGTTTGAATTTTTTAACTTGAGTTCTGCACCTACTCAAGTTAAAATCGTATTGCCGGAAGAGGACCAAACAACCGGATTTTCAGAAAAAATTACGGATAGTTTGGACACACCACCGGTTGCCATCAGAGCAGTATTAGCGGCAGCAATCAACAAAACAGTCTCTTCCAGCTCAAAGGCTCAAAAGAGAAAATTCGTTTCTTCTTCCGGACCAGACGAACCAAAAAAGCGAAGCACAAGCAACGAATACAAGTGCTCAATTTGTGAACGGGTATTTCAAAAAAAGTACAATTTGGATACGCACGTCAAAACCCATGATAAAAACAGGGTAAAAAACTTCAGTTGTACTGATTGCGATATGTTGTTTGATAGAAAATCACATTTAAACAGACATACCAAAACAGTCCACCAGCAAAGAAAAGAACACATCTGCGGCCATTGTGGATCTCAATATACTCGATCCGAAAACCTCAGAAAGCATGTCGATAAGAACCATGGAAACAATTAATGTTTTTTTATATTTTTCCCCTTTTAATATTCCATACCTTTCGTTCTTTAACACTTTTCTCCTTCTTCGTTCCCCATTTCCCCCACCACTTTTATAATAATCCCCTTTGCTTGAATAAAATTTAAAATAACCCGAATATTCTGTGTTAACGTGTCCTTCGTTGGTCGGTAGTCATCCAAACACCAGCCTCACATTAGGCAAATAGTGGGTTTTAACTGTGAAAGGATTTGTATTCGGTTACTATCAATGAAGTTCGGCAAATTGTTCATGAGTTTTTTAGCCACAAAAATTAAGGAAAGAAATAAGAGACATCGAAAAAGCCCGTTAAAAAATTAGTTTTGTGGCCAACATTTGTTTCTTTTGAAGTAATCACATGGCACTGACGCTGGACAAAATATGCACAATTTCACAGCTCAGCTTAGTTTTTCTCCGCTCGTATTGCATACAAAACTGATCGGGCAGCAGACAAGATCTTCGTCACAGGCAACGTTAAATACATAATTTTTGTCTTGTACGGGGATCAGAAACAAATGATGTACATATTACTTTGATGCTCAAATTCAAACAAGATATTACAAAGCTTAAGAATTCCAATACCATAAGACTTAAGCTCATCAGCCAATAAACAATAAAATACGTTTGCTCACTAAAACGAAAAAACAAGATTAGAGATGCCGCCATTTCGTTTGACGTAAAGAAAAACGATGGAAACCCAGATGCTGTTTCAAATCCACCAGTATGAATGGCACAATATTTGCTGAGTTAAAGGGTAAAAATTGATTATAGTGCAAAGTGGATGCGATCAAACCGATTTTCAACTTTTTTTTACTTCAAATGTCCATGACCAAAACAATGATTCTTCCATATTTTGATACTAACCCTAGAAAAATGTTTTCGTAGTTAATATGACCACAAATATGAGTAAGGTTCCACAACTACCCCAAATTCATAACGTTGGGACACTAAATCGCGGTCTGTTCTCCGTACGTTAATCTCACGCCTATTAGCAATTTGCGTCATAAGGCTATTTGCAGTATTTAGTTTGCCCAAAGACAGCACAACAGGCTGCCCCAGTAATAGCAGCAGAAACATCGAAAGAGAAGATAGAATCAGCCAGTTGATAAACAGAATGGCCCGTCCTTGATTGGTTGTAAAGTGAAAAAAACGTACAAAACCTAAAACATTTTAAATCGCTTTTTGCGGCAACTAATAATTCTGCCATTGGGTTATCGAGACAGATATTCTGACATCGGATTCGAAAAGCGTAAATATCTATCGTTCCATGGAGTTGAACGCCGATTTTGACTGCAATTACGACTTTGAATGACCTAAAAACAGTTCTACCATCAAGGTCAAATATGTCTTGTTTGTTTAGACTTTGTCTCACGATGCATCCCCTAAATTAAAGTGCTTTCCAATGTTAGTTAAAAAAAAAACTAGAATAATTTGAGGCCTGAAATAATACGTTTAATATTCTTCTCAAACATTTTATTCACGAAAATTATAAGACCGAGGTTCACTTATCGTTAATGCTTTAATTCTAACAACTGTCCTCCTAGCTTGATATTTTATTCTTTTGCCGAAATTGTATTTGAGTACATAGATTCGGTAAGAGCTTGTGAAAGTAGCTAAATAAAAAAAAAGTATTCGGAAAAGTTTGAAATAAAGTTGGATGAGTTTCTTTTCTACCCAAGTAAGTTGGCAATCCTCGGAACCCTTGACTACAATTACTTAACAATTAAATCTTGGTGACTGTTGGGAAAGCCAAAAAATACATAACTTTAGTAAACCTACAAGGTATAAGGTGATAAAAATGTACGAAGTAATTTGTCATAGAAAGGGTTACATAATTTTTAGCGACATACATCAATCAATCCAAGAGGACCATAATTATATTTATTCCATGGATCAAAAATTGCGTTTTTCTCAACAAATCATCAGATTATACTACATAAATCCTATGAGATTCCAGATTAATTAATGAGCGTGCGATATCATCCGGACCAGCCATCCAGTAATCGTAAAGCAAATGGCATGACTTCAGAGCACAAACCATGCTTAACAGCTGGTCTCCAAATATATTTAATGTCTCTGTTATTTTGGCTTTGAAGCAGCGAATAGATTTATTTTGGCATTTGAGTTCTCATTCCATTATAAGATAACGCTCGTCAATGCCGACAAAAAACCCTGTTAGAGATGCCCGCATGCATATACAGTGAGTGGACAAAACTGTTAGAGTGTTTAGAAAGTTTCAGTCCCATCTTTGTCAACAATGTGTAAACTCGTCGAAATAATTTCAAATTTTGACAGATATGAGTGCAAGCGTTGCTACACCAGCAATAACGTTTTTGGATTTTTTGTGTCACAAAAACAGGGGAGATTCTGGGTTTAAAACTGCTTATCGCTCGAACAGTTCTGTCCAATGCTTAAATTTTTAGAAAACCATAAAAATCTTTCGAAAAAACAGTCATATAAGCCCCAAAAAAAATTTCAGACAGGTTTTGGTGGCTAGTCCATATGTTATTTTTTACTCTTTATTTTCGTAATATAAGACTTTACTCATTAATATGACAAAAAGCATTTCTTTGACATTAAAAAACGAGATCATTAAATTACTAAACGACGGGCTTTCCTTTCGAGAAATAACAAAAAAAGTGTCTGTTAGTTTGTCAACCATTGCAAAGATAAAAAAACAAGCTAATCTTGACATTCACAAAAAAATTGGTGGAGCACCTCCCAAGATTTCAACATCAACAGGCCCCTCATTGATTACAGGCTTCAAAACAAACGTGAACTAGACTGTCAAGGATGCTGTCGAGGCTCTAAAAAAGGAAGAATATTCTGTCTGCGGAAGGACTGTTCGCCGGATGTTGAATTCAGCCGGGATGAAAGCTGAACATAAGCCTAAAGTACTGCCATTAACACCAAGTCGTAAAAACGCGAGACTTTCTTGGCCAAGGTCCACCAAAACTGGACTGTTGATGATTGGAAGAATGTTGTTTTTAGTGACGAAACGAAAATAAACCGTATTGCCTCTGACGGGGCTCAGAGGTTTTGGAATGCCACAGACGAAGTGATCCGAGATTGTCATCTCCAACATTTGTACAAGCATGGCGGTGGAAACATAATGTTGTGGGGTTGTTTTCTCTGGGGAGGTCATTGATACATTGTTCGTATTAATAGTACAATGGACAGTAAGTTATACTGTGATACTTTGAGCGACGGTCTAACGACCAGTGTTAGTTACTGCAATCGAAATATCAAGGATGTCGTATTTCAGCAGGATAATGACCCAAAACATACCTCGAAAATGGCAACAAAATGGTTTCAAAACAATGACGTACGCGTGTTAGATTGGCCCTCATATTCCGCAGATCTAAACACGATCGAAAATCTCTGGGCCATAATAAAAAAACGATTTTGCGCCTACGAAACGGCCCCAAAAAGCTTAACCGAGCTATTCGACCGGATCACCCAGGAATGGATCAAAATTACCCCAAAGTTGTGTCAAGACCTTATAATATCTATGCCAAAAAGGATTAAAGCAGTTATCAAGGCCAAAGGAGGAAGAACCAAACATTAGTCGTAAAATTTACCATTGGACAAAACTGTTCGAGTGTCTATAAAATTTTATGTAATTTTTGTTACACCAAAAAATGGGTCAGAGTTTAAATAAAACCAATTTTTATTTGTAATAGTCAATTTACTATTGTACATAATTTTGGCCGTTTTTTTGTATGGTCATACGAAATCGAAATAAGTGGAAATTTGGCTTTTTAAAAACACTCAAACAGTTTTGTCCAGTCACTGTAGTGGGACTTTGCCGTAAGTTTGAAATTTGTTCAACCAAATGTACAAAGATATAAGATCTGGGTTCTATTGCGCTGAACATACGACTATTTTTTTAAGATTAACTATGTTATCGTGAATACAATAAAAATGTAAATGACAATCATTGGTTATGAACGAAACAAAAATTATTTTAAATGCCGACAAAGCACACAAAGGTACCCTATAGTCAGTATAAACGTCTAAGTTGGAATACGTCTGACGTGACGAAGAGGTAAAACTGAAATCTTAATGCTCTCAGCAGTTTTTGTGATAGAACTATACTAGAAGGTTTGATTCTTCGTCTGATTTTTCAAGAAACTAACTCATTGAGTTGGTATAGCTTATTTTTTTTTGAGATATTCTTTCGAAAAATTAAGAATGGACACTTGATTAACGGAGCCTTTCAAAGGTTTTTTTGCTACAGTTGTAACAAGAGCATTTGTCGTTTATTAAAGCACCGTTAATGACATTCTAAACGGAATTGATAAAACCGAGTTTTCTTGTAAAAGAGAATGCAGTTAGTTTGAATTTCATACTTGTTTTCTCAATGGAGATAAAAAACATTTCACATTCATATAGGACAAGTCATTGTATAGCATAGCCAAAAACGACCGATTTTGTAACCAGAAACAACTTTAAAACTGTCCTGGAAAGTTCAACATGACTTGAGCTGCCACTGTTTTACTATCCATTAGTGGACACTCTTGAGCCCTAATATCAACCAGCTATTCCTGCCTTGTGCTTTGAAGGCACCTCCCCACTAGCTTTAACGAAAGTAGCCATACACCATAATGCAGCAGATTTGCATTCGAAACAGAATCATCTACTACCACACCTGGTTAAACAACAATCAGGGGTACTGGTGTTATTGTAGAATATCAGCGAAGATTAAAAATAACAAAGAGAACGATCGATCTGCTTGAATGTTGATTTGCTTTCAAAAACATGGTTGCAATAGTATCGTTTTACACACTATCCAAATATGATCAAATTGAGCCAGTACCATGTTTGTGATCTTGAGTGTGAATGTAACCTTCATTTTAACCGTCAAAAAAATGAGATAGGCAACTAAATGATACTGTTCTTACATACCTTCTTGACTATATTCATGCTTTCTTATCATTCCTAATTTTTTTTACACATAACTTTGGGATAATGCGGAATAACATTAAAGAAAAATTAATGTTGCCGGAGGTAGTAATATTTACGTCAGTTATTTTCCTTCTTATTGTAATACAGTCAAGTTAAACCACGTCCTATTTAATTATGTTTATACCTTGTAAATACTGACTTCCCGTTACAAAGGTATTTTTTTTTGTTGACTTAAAGACTAGTGATTTTCGCGCATAGTAATTCACTATGACTTACAATTATATCCCCGAACACTATTACGGATATGTTTTACTCTCAATTATAGCCAGCCTGGAATCAGCCTTTGTGTATTTTGAAAAAGGAATAAGAAAGAAACCAATTTTTGCACATTTACTGTTATTATGCGTATTAAAATGTCAATCACTTAATCGTTTACCCTATACCTTTTTGGGAACTTTACAATATCTATTTGTAGCTGGACGACGTGTCTAGACAATATAAGACACTCTGCGTTTGTTGTGATAAACATATAATATACTAAAATGTTGTGATACCCATAATTAAATCATAGTAAGCTTCATTTTTTAGCGTTTGTTCGAAGGGGTATAATATTCCGGAACAAACACAACTTATTTGTGATATAAGAATCAATTCGCGGGTCATGATACTGTTATATCTTATGCCCCAAATATGCAATATGATTAACCAGCTTCCAGACTCATTATTTATCATTGATCCGTCAGCTCTTTAAATCCTTTGTCATGATCCACATAAACTATGACTAACTTTGGTCATTGCTTATTCTTTTATTTAATTTTATGTTTTCTTTCTCTATAAATACATATAGCTGATCAATTTCACTTCTCTCGTTTTTCTTTATCAGATATATTTCCTAATCATCTTCTCTTTTCTTTTACTATATCATTAAATAAATAACCTGCTTTCAAGAAGCGATTCATTGTCGGTCCTGCCCTTCCTGTCATGTTCCTCCCTCGTTCCTGACACGAGGACTCCGGATTTAACATCCTCTCAACTAAATTGTTATGCCGTTTTATGTCCATTCAAGAGGAAGAACAAAAGTAGTTCTTGCTTGGATCAAATCTGTTACCAGACGGTTTTCAAACGGACCGACACAACATCAAAAGCTTAAAATATTTTAAATTGCATTACCCTGTAGACTCAATGCGAATAAGAAAAACTTAATAAACTTACGATAGCCTACTCAATTCATTTCAAGTGATCGATAGAATAATAATTTTAATAATTTGCTTTTAAAAAACGAATGGGGATCGCCCGGTGGATTCATTCTAGACATGCGAATGGGATCTGTATCGTACAAATTCCTCCGTATATCCTTCACGATTTCCAAAAAAAAGTTCACTGATTTAATTCGGACAGCGGTTTCTTATCGGCCAATCGGAATTGACTGGTCTTTAATTATAGTTCTAGATTAGAAACAAAGCAGGGAAATTTTGTTATCCTCTTTTTCCCACTTTTTTCCCTAAAGTTTTTGGAATGAATAATAACGGTGGAATAGACTTTTCTCAAAATCAAGCTAACATCAGTATGGAGTTGTTCTGTAACGGCGAGTATGGCCATGGCTTGGATCAGTCAACTGTTCATGAGTTGCAATTATTGGATACTTCAATAATTAAGACTCTTGAGCAGTTGGCTGGAACAGCCATGCCTGCTCTGCCCGTTGCAGACAGCTCCTATAAGGCAACATCGCCAACCGCTGCAGCAATATCGTCTGTAACAGTGGATGATACAGCAACCCCGACGGTAGCAGCAATCAACCCCACAAGACAAAAAAGAAAAGCAACCTATGCCGCTCCCTCGGAAAACCAAGGCAATAAAAAACAAAAGAAAGAATTTGCTTGTTCGTTCTGCGATTTCGTTTGCAATCGTAAATATAATTTAGAAACTCACATGGTATTGCATAATCCAAATCGTAAAAAAAAATATCAATGTACCAACTGTGGTCGCGGTTTTGACCGCAAAGCAGACGTCAAGCGTCATATTAAAAATGTTCACAAGAAATAAAAAAATCTTCGCCATCCAGGCATCACTGACCCTTTTTTAACGATTCTGTCTCAATGAGTGTTTAATTTTTATTTAGCCTTGAAAGTAAAATAAAAAATAAAACAAAAAAAAAGATCATCAGCTACGATTTATTTTTTTCATTTTTTCGACTTTTTGGGGATCACCATATACACGATCGTTCTCCAATAGAAAAAACACGGAATCTTAACCAACGCCAGTATTACTTACGGTTTAGGATGTCAAATACGACAGTTGAAGGACAATAAAAAAGAAGTCATCGTCAGTCATACCAACCAGGTTATTGCATTACCCATTTAAGATGCCGTCATAAAAAATAATAGATATTAGTAGTTATGTATAAATTAATATCTGGCTGTAATCATTTGGCTAAATATTTGCTGTTTTACCATAGGGCTGACTACTAAATTTAGTGTGTCCACAATTGGGCGAAAGACTCTAATGGTAGCAATCAAGAGATTAACATTGTAAATATTAACAATCATTGGCACTTCTTAACTAACTATTGGAGTCGTGACAGCTGTCGTTTCTTAAATGGTAAGTAAAATGCAGTTTATTTTTTTACAGCATTATAACTATACTTACCGATTGGAATTAAAAGAGTATATGGTTTCCGTTCAATCTGTTTGTTTTCATGATTAGAATGGCCAATTTCGACATCTACGCATGTGTTTGAATGAAACAACAGTAATTCCGAATTTTGTAAAGGACTGAAAATTAGCAGATTAGCTGGAATTCGGGAATAGGAGTACCTTTTTGACAAATGGAATACTCGCAGCACCCACGTCATAAGGGACTACCATTCGGACAGTTTGTGCCATACTCGACCATCGTTTCAAGTTCTGTTAATTAAATGTCCAGCGAGGCTTAATAAGAGCCAAACGACTCCCAAATGTAGAAGAACTTAAAACTATACAAAAACCCAAACCTTAGGCTTAGCCCTTTTGACATGTGTAAGATGAGCTAATAAAAACCAAGATATCCATTGTGCCGATGTTGTATGGCAGCATTTTTTCACTTTGCAAAGATGACAAGGTGCAACGATATATTTTTGGGAAGTATGCAAAGGTTACAAAAAGGCTATTGTAAAGCAGGAAAAACTGTCATCCTTTCCAATTAGAGGCATATCCCGTGCGATAAAAGAAGGGTCGTGCTAATAAGAGGAACGATTTGCAGAATGCATTGTGTGATATTTGGATGATAAAGTGAATAATTTAACACAGGGTCTTTTGTCTAGCAGCGTACGATAAGCTAAAAAAACGCCTATTAAAAGAACGCGCGAAGAGGAGTTCATGTGACAAAAGCGCATTCCATACGTCCATAGTACACGTAAGGTTGATTTGTATGTACAGAAATACATCGAAGAAAAGTTATTAAATAATTTTTTTTACAAATATCTAGAAGCCATGCAAAGTCGATATCATGCACAATAGGTATATCCGTGGAGCCAATTAGTGTTATACAGGTGACCAAGAGGTTCGACATATTAACCAAAACAAAAACCGCATTTACGATAGCTACGTTCCCACTTAATGTTTTAAGAAGCATCGTTCTGCTCCCGGATCCATTTTAATGAACATGCATACCAAACAAAAAATAGTTAGTTTGCCGTTCACGAATCACATAAACATACGTGTAATTTTATCAAAAATAACTACCTAGAACATTACATATGCCGTATAGTACAAGCCCAAGAATTGTTGGAGCAGATTAGGCAATGGAAACAAAAATACTGGATAAATGGGTTGAACGACAATCAAAAACAAATTAAGACTAACGACAACGAACAATTAATAATTAACCGTGTGACTTGAATGAATAAAATGGCAAACAAACCCTTGCTGTGGAAAACGAACTCAATTTAAGACGCAAAGAAAAAAATTGGATTATGGACGAATTCGCTCTTCCATTCGAAGCGATGTGATGCTACATTTTATGTCGTCCAATGCCACTAAATGCTATACTGTGTTTAACAAACACAAAAAAAAAAAGGATTATCGACTGTTCTTACTACAATATTGGTTCCTTATATCTACATTCTTTACTTTCGATAAATTGGATTCTGTGGTTTAAAAAAAATTGAATTGAACAAAAAGCACTGACAGATGACAATATTGGGCTGGTTATAAACAAATTTATGACGACTGGTATTGCTTATTTCATCAATGGTCAACGTAAAGTGAATGGAACATCTGTGACTGGACAAGATCACTTGTAATTTGTACAATTTTTCTAGTTTATTGTACAATAGATAATCATGCGCAAAGTTGATAATACCGCAATTACATCGACGACGATGAATACATGTTGTTCTCGAGACAAGTATTTGCAACAAGCCGATTTAGAAACCTCGCATTTATGGCTATACCTATAACGATAGAATCCATAAAGTAATTATAAGTTCAACCATTACTAACACTTATATCCAAGTCTAGTGAATCAAATTGGCATCCTTTTGATGAATACTTGTTGAAACTATAAATATATCACCGAAAACACGATTTTGAAACGTTTTGTAGTGTGGTGATCCACCTACTGTTGTTACTAATCACACCATAAAACAATATTAAAATTAAATCTCACTTCATCACCCCATACATTATTACATCACAACACGAACTATTTTCTTATACATTATATCATATCCAACTACAAGCACTATTTTAGTGCTGTGTAACTTATCCATCAAACTAAATTCATAATCCGATTTCTCTTAACATATATAAATATGCAAACTGATAGTTAGAATAGAACCCTCTGAATCTTTGAATTTACTTTTACTCTTAAATAAAACTTATAAGCAGTCTCAAAGTATTTTATTGTTTTATCTCTATCCTCAACTATCACATTTTTTACTTTGAATTTTGCAAACATGTCAAACAACTCTGCTGCTACTTCTACCACCTCTGCTGGTTCTCCTCTTCCCTCTTTCGCTGGTTCTTCTCCTCTCTCTTTCTCTGAGAATGCCCATCCTATGGTCAACCCTGAACCCATGGAGGAAGACACTGACAGTACTCCTCAACAGGATACTACTCCTGCTGCACCTGCTCCTGTTGCTCTGGACTCTAAGGCCATCTTGAAGTCTGCCCATGACAACCTGGTCAAATTAGAAGAAAAATGCAACCAAGCATATGCTGCTTACTTGTCAAACCAACTTTTGGATGAAGCTAGTCCTGCCACCAAAGCTTCCTACCAGGATTATCTTTCGGTATTGAATTCGTACACTGATGCCAAGGATGCTTTGACAGCTTACCAGAAGATCAAGTCTCCAAATAAGGTTCAAGATGACAAGAATGCCTCTCGTGTTCCTAAGGATCTCCCTTTCCTCCAACTGACGTCCACTCCATTGGAAAGACCCAACTCTGAGTCTTTTGACTCTGTGTACGACTTCTGTGATCAGTTTCGTACTGTTCTTAAGGCCCATGCTTTAGATTTGAACGCTCACTGGGAACGACTCCTACCCATGAGTCTTAACAAGGATGATCGCAGCTGGTTTCTCGAAAATCTGGACAACAAGGATCTCACCTGGAAGCAAGCTGAAACAATGATCCTTGATCATTTTGATACCCCCTACCGCAAATTCCTATTGATGATTAATGTCAATCGTCTCCGTCAAGCCCCCAATGAATCTTGTCGTGCGTATGGTGCTCGTTTCCAAAAGCTGCGTCGACAAGCGGATATGAAGGATGGTGTCCAACTGGTACTGATGTTCTACTGTTCTTTGAGAGAGCAAGTGAGGGAGAAAACGTCTGGTGCTATTTCCTCTCAGTATGGTACGAAATTACCTTGTAAACTGGAGGACATGATCCAATTGGTTGTTGCCTCGACTCCGATTACCTTTCTTCCGGCTCCTCTGGTAGTTACTCTGTGGTTGGTTCCTCCTCGTCTACGTATGGCAATAAGGACAATGAGCGTTTCAACAAGAAACGCAGTTCCAGCCACTTCGGCTCTAATAAGGATTCTTCGGGATCTAAGAGACCTTTTACCTCGTCCTCTTCTGGTAAGAAACCTTGTTCCTTTTGTGGTAAGACCTGGTTCTATGGTCACCGCTGTGAAGAGTTTAAGCAAGCTCAAAGGAATAAGGTGTCAAGAATGGCAATGAGAGGTGGTGAGCCTTCCTCGTCTGTTGATGAAGATGAGAATATGGACCATAATGTGTCAATGGCGCGTTTAGCTCTTGATTGTAAGTCTGCAAATATAAAAGATGTAACAAGAGATTTTAAAAACATTGATACTGATACTATTACCTTTCCTATTACTATCGATAATTCTATTAGAACGTTCTCCTTATTTGATTGCGGCGCAAATTTTAGTTCGGTGGACTATGAGTTCTGTAGAAAAAATAATATTAAAATAAAGTTTATAAATCATGTTAGTAAAGACCAATTAAATAAGCATAATTTTTATAATTACTTCATTCGGTCTGCGGATAAGAATACTTTTGTAAAAAGGATTGGTACTTGTGAATTAAGCGTTGGTTGTAATAATAAAACTATAAAACGTGTCTTTGAGGTTATGAATCTTGCTCCTGAAAATAACAGTTATCAATTTAGTATTGGTACTGATTGTATGTCATTATTTGGAATCGGAATTTATGGTCTTCCTACCTCGTATGATGATCATGATTCCCAAGAAGCCGTTATTGAAGCTGACAAGCGTTATAACAATACGAGTGAACTTCTTGAATCAATTGAAGCTGAAAACAAATTAAAGGAAAATTGTCCAGCCTGTCCTCCTAATGAATACAAAGAAGCGTTAGATTACATTCAACCTGCTATTAAAGCCAATCAAGCAATCCCTAAAGGTTCATTCTGCACTATACCTGAAAGTGTTGTATCCTTGGATACTCCACCTAATGTAACCGCGTATAGAAAGCCTTATCCAGTCCCTCTTAAGATGGAAAGCATTGTAGACGACCAAGTAAAGGAATGGCTCGATAACGGTATTACTAAAATTGCCCCTGCTAATACAGAATGGAATAC